ATTATGAAATACTGAAAAAATTAATTGCATTTTAAAAAATTTTCTTCTCAAGAACCACTGGGCCAAGATAAATGAAACTCATTTGGAATCATCCTCAGGTAGTGTAGATTCAAATTTGTTCAAATCATGACCTCTGGGGCTAGGGTGGGGCCAAAATGGCCGATCAAAGTTTTATATAGGAATATACAGTAAAATTTGTCTAATCCGGAAAAATCTTTTTGTAAAATTTTAGTCCCATCTTCTTTAATAAATTCATTAGAAAAAATTCTGTGTAGTCCAGGAAAGATGAAACTTATAATTAACGGTAATCATTCCTCAATCCGGCCACACATAATTACCTGAGTTACTTCAAAGCAATTAACACGTTTCGTGGTGGATGTTATAATCCGTGTTTACACTAGCATTAAAGCCATGAGACGAAATCAGTGAAATGTGGCAGAGACACAGCCCGTGAAAAAAATATTATAGGATTAAATTAAAATTTTAAAAAATTAACTTTGTTTTAACTCCTTTTACCACATTATAACATAAACACAAAAATATATACGTTTTACAAATCAAAATAATAATCGGAATATAAAATGGAAAAATCTTTTTTTTTAATAAAAATTACTTCTTAATTAGCACATCGTAAATAATTGTGCAACCACACATTGAATGAACTCTCTGAGGAAATCCAGGTGATATATAGTACGCCTATATATATCATGAAATCATTTCCTTTCAGGTACAGTAAGTCATATGCGACTATTCAATAATTTATAGATGATCAATATGTTGATTGATTCATCATTTAATTATATTTTATATGTGTTTGGGTAAATAAACAACAAATTTTCAAAAGTGGCACTCCGGATTCAAAGTTTTACATTGAGAGATTATACTGTATAGGAAAAATCTTTAAAAATCTTCTTCTCAAGAAGCATTGAGACAGGAAAGGTGAAACTCATGTGAAATTATCCTCAGGTAGTGTAGATTCAAATTTGTTCAAATATTGACCCCCGGGGCTAGGGTGGGGCCATAATGGCCGATCAAAGTTTTACATAGAAATATATAGGAAAAATCTTTAAAAATCTTCTTCTCAAGAACCATTGAGACAGGAAAGATGAAACTTGTGTAAAATTATCTTCAGATTCAAGTTTGTTCATATCATGACCCCTGGGGGTAGGGTGGGGCCAAAATGGTTGATCAAAGTTTTTCATAGGAATATATAGGGAAATCTTTAAAAATCTTCTTTTCAAGAACTTCAAAGCCATGATTAGTGATATTTATATGGAATCATCCTCAGGTAGTGTAGATTCTAGTTTGTTCAAATCATGACCCCTGGGGGGTTAAAATTTATGCCCCCCCCCTCCAACCTCAGTAAACTTTCAATTCTGATCTGATATGTGCTTTTTCCTAGCCGGTGTGCTCAGGTGAGTGCTGTGGCCCCTGGGCCTCTTGTTTATAACTTGTGTATGCAAATAATTTTTTATTTCATAATTATAAGCAAGATGTAATATATTGCTTTTTGTTCTTGTGTTTGATACAGAGTATGCAGAATTTCTCCACAAGAAAGGAACTGTGTTCACAGATTTTAGTGAAGTACGGAAAGAAATTGAGGCAGAAACTGATAGAGTGACGGGGCACAATAAGGGGATCTCTAATATCCCTATCAACCTCAGGGTCTATTCCCCTCATGGTGCGTATCGAGATAAATCATGATGAAATTACATTTTTTACTTCATGAAAATTCAACCACTTTCCTTTTGAAAAATGATGTTTTTAAGCATACATTGATAAAGAGTTTTGTTTTCAATTTTGTAATGTTTTTGTAAAATTTCTTATTATTGATTGATTTTGACAATGTTTCCTATGGTAACAATTTGACCTTTAACCTCATAGTTTTGAACCTGACCCTGATTGACCTGCCGGGTATGACCCGTGTTGCCATTGGTGACCAGCCACCCGACATAGAAATGCAGATCAGGTCCATGCTTCTAGAGTTTATCACCAAGGAGAGCTGTCTGATCCTGGCTGTCTCCCCTGCTAACACTGATTTGGCCAACTCTGATGCTCTAAAAATAGCAAAAGAAGTAGACCCCCAAGGTACAAAATGCAATTGTTTTTGGTCCCAGTATTTACCTATTTTAGGGATTCAGATGGCTGCATGAGTTTTTTTCTTGGCATACTTCTAATAAAATGTGTGTACAATCAGTGCAAAGGTGCAGCCAGTATAATTTAAAAGAATTTTTTTTTAATTAAATTTTTTAGGCTTGCACATTTCCTATTCATCAATATTTGATAAAATTTCAATTGTTTGATCCTTGATGAGGGATATTTTGTATAATTTTTCTATACCAATTTGCAGGGTTACGGACCATTGGTGTGATAACCAAGCTAGATTTAATGGACAAAGGGACAGATGCCAGGGACATTTTAGAGAACAAGACATTACCATTACGGCGAGGTAAAATGTCCTGGAAAATTTCAGATGTGCATGTTCATGTATATTTTTGCCCCACTTTAAATTAGCCCTGACAGAATTTTAATGTTGCTCGTTTGCTACGAGGGTGCAGGGACAAAAAAAAAAAATTGGGTTCAAAACTTTCTCTGCAGACAGTATGGTTCTAGAACATTCATGATATAAATTGATGTGTTAAACAGGTTATGTTGGAGTGGTAAACAGAAGTCAACAAGACATTGATGGAAGGAAAGACATCAGACAGGCTTTGGCAGGGGAACGCAAGTTCTTCCTCAGTCACCCATCGTACAGGTAGTTAGAATTTCTGATTGGCTATCATACTTAAATCCCATTTATTTCTTGCACAGCAATAAGGAATATGTTAATTTACTGAATTTTTATATGCTGGGGTAAAATCTGAACATTTGTTGTCGATAACAAAATGGCTTCATACCTCCACCAGAGGTGTTGATTGTAAATATGAATTCTTCTCAAATCAGTTAGAATTTAGAATGATTTATAGTTTTAAAAGAAAGGATAAATTGCTAGATTAATTGCTGTTTCATAATTTTTGCTGTGAGTGTACTTATGTGGCAGTGTTTGTCTTCTGTAGACACATGGCTGACAGAATGGGCACACCGTACCTACAGAGAGTCCTTAACCAGCAGCTGACCAATCACATTAGAGATGTTCTGCCAAACCTAAGGAACAAGCTACAAAGTCAGCTTCTAAGTATGGAGAAAGATGTTCAGGAATTCAAAAATTACCAACCAGACGACCCATCTAGAAAAACTAAAGCAATGATGCAGTGAGTTCTGCTCAGATTTTGAGTTATTTGAGAAATGATTAATATTTTGATTTTTTAGTCTTTTCACCTGCGTGAGAAGACAAAAATACAAAATGTTCATATTTAACTGTACAAAAATGAATTTTACCCTTTCAGGTTATTTTATTTGCATTGTTTTGTGAATACTTAATGAGCTTTTTCAAGAAATTTTTGTGTATGTAATTTTTTAGAATGATTCAACAGTTCAATGTTGATTTTGATAAGAGTATAGAAGGTTCAGGAACAGAGATTAACACAAGAGAGCTGTCAGGAGGAGCCAAAATTAACAGGATATTTCACGAACGCTTTCCTTTTGAATTGGTTAAGGTATGAAGCCCATCCAATTTTTATTTAAGACTGTGTTTATAATTCTATTTAAATACATGTATGTTCACTGGCCCCTACTTTCAGGTAAAAATTTCTTGGAGTAGAAACTTATTCTAAATGTGGCACAACAAAAACTTTCAACCAATGTAGTTTTAATTGCTAATATTTCTGAACCAAAGTAGATGTAAATATTAAAACCCCCAAGGATGTCAGTGATTTGATTTTTTTGTAGTATATATTTTTGCAAGGTACATGTATAACTTAGATAAAGCATTTGATCTCTTGTTTCTGTTTCTAGATTGAATTTGATGAACGTGAACTCAGGAAAGAAATCAGTATAGCCATCCGTAACATCCATGCTATTAGGTGAGTAATATTTTTTTAATTGGGTAAGAACATTTCTTAAAAATTTCAATTTATCAGATTTTTAGTGCATATTCAATAATTCATAGAAATCTAAAGGTCTGAAATTTATTGGAAATTTTGATATTTTTCAGAATTTGAAAATAAATTTAGATAATAAATGAAGTCTGAAATTTTTTTTTTGGAAAATTGTGATATTTTTCAGAACTTGAAAATAAATTTTTAACATTGTTGTTTTCCAGGACAGGCCTGTTTACTCCAGATAAAGCCTTTGAGGCCATTGTTAAAGAATATATAAGGAAGCTTAAAGAGCCTTCATTGAAAGCAATAGATATGGTGGTCACAGAATTAACAAAAGTTGTGCATAAATGTACAGAAAAGGTATTGTACTTGTTATTGAAAAACAATGCTTTCAAAATGTAAAGGAATCTTTGTATAGGTTAGATATCAGGTATCTGGAACACAGAATTATCAGGATAGGAAAAAAGAAACTTGTGTCATTTATTTTATATTTAAACAAATTTAGGTTTGAAACAAAATGAGAGTTGAAGATATCTGTCTTTTTTTCCCAAACTTTAATAAACTATGAATAGCCAATTTGCCAATATCATTTTTTGTCTGAATTATATTTTTACAAGTATATCAAGTGTACTGTAAAATGAAAATAAAATTAAGAAAAATATAAAATTTCTTTCTGAAATGATTGTGTTTTGGACTACATTAGATGAGCCGGTATCCACGACTCCGGGACCAGACAGAGAGTATAGTCAACAACAGGATCAGGGAGCAGGAAATGAAGGCCAAGGAACAGCTCAAGTTACACGTGGAATTCGAGCTCGCCTACATTAATACCAACCACGAGGACTTCATAGGATTCGCCAAGTAAGCATATTTAGTGGAAATTAAGGCATTGTAAGTCAAGATGCTGTAAACCAAGTATTATTCACGACAACTTTATTTCATGATTTAGTGGGGGCAAACTAAGTTCACGCCAATTAATTTTCGCGATCAAGTCTTTTTTCAATCTGTTGTTTGTAGACACAGAGCCTTTGAGAAAAGGTCCGCGGCGAGAAAAATTCATGATGACAAGGCTCTTGCAAACCTCATGAAAATTTCTCACATGTATATAAAATTGGGTTTACAGTATTAAATGAATGAATTAATATTAAATATTAATGCATATTTTTCTTTAATGGGAGTCCATTGCATTTTTTTTTCATTAGAGGTGATTCAGTGAGAAAGGTTCTGCCTGTTTTGTTTGGTGTGCATGTACAGTAAAACTCATTTATTAAATAAGGAAGTGCCAGGGATGAGTGATTTTGCTTCTTTATAAGCCTCATTCATTATATCCATTAAGTTTACAACAAATTTTAAAGTGAAGGGGGAAAATCTTTTTGCTATAAGCATCAGTTTATTATAAGCATGTTGGCAATAAGCATGTTTTACTTATATTATTTTTGGTACCAATTGAAAATCTTTTCAGAGAACTGTGGGTATGTAGAAACTTTTAAAAAATGAAAGATTTTATTGATAATTACATGCAAATATCTTTTTTGAAGTCTGTAGATTTATGGTATATATCTTATTTCAGCTTTTATTTAGATGTTTGCTGTTATAAATATTTCTGATTTGAATGATCTGTGAGAAAGACAGATGAGCTTTTACATTATTATGGCTGATTCTGTTACAGCGCTGATAGGGCGGTGCACAAAGAGAGAAAGCAAGTCACCAATCAGGTACATCACGGCACTTGTAGATTTAACATTTCTAATTTCGATTAACCCATCATTTCAGTGCCCATAACAAAGCCGAAAATAAAGAACGGAAAAAAGTTGGCAATCAGGTATTTGACTCCTTACCTATCTTTTTGTTTAACCGTCACTCACCTACAGATAGCATTCACCATATGAAGTTGTGCACCTGATATTTTCATCTTGATTCGATTATTATTTTGAATTTTACAGGTGTTTTTTCATTTTTATTTTGTGGTTTTGTCCGGACCGTTTCTCAGAAACTATTGCAAGGATTAATCTGAAAATTTGTACACTTATTTTTCACCAGATGAAGGTGTGCACCTGGAATATTTTTCTCTCTTCTTCACTTTTATGTTTATATTTATCCAAATAAATAATATAAAGTATGTTATACGTTTTTACATGTCATTGAAATATATTTATGAAAAGTCTTCAAAAAGCAAACACACTTTGCCAATGTAAATTTTCCATTGCACCAATGCATAATACTTATGTGTAATATACGTGTATGTATATGTTAAGTTTAATTAAAAATTTTTACAGTATTCTCAGGCAAGTGATTGTTATTTAATTTTTTTGTGATAAAAGTCTTAAAAATTGTTAACCTTAATTTTCCCTAACAAGAATGAAGATTATTTTCCTCTTTAGGAAACTTCCTCAGACATTGACCACTATCTGTTTTTAATTCTTTTAAAAAGTTAATAGCCTTGCTTGAGAGATGGCCATTTTACAGCATGAACTCTTTCTAAATAATAGTTAAAATGAATGGATATTTAGAGAGTGAGAATTCTCATATCCCTTAATTTTCTTAATCCTAAAACATCATAAAAATAACCTAAAATAAAAAAAGAATTCCATATAAAAGCTTGTATTCTTATCAAAAAATGCAAGTATAGCTAAACTATTTTAAATGATCTGAGAATTAAGTACACATACATCATGTACATGTAACATGTATTTTTGCAGTTACCCTGTAATAAGTCTGTGTAGGTACCAATCCATCAACAGTGATTTTGTGAAGCATAAAAAAATGCTACATGTACACTTTTTTGCAATTTTGAAAGAATATCAACCATAAAATTCTTTCAATTTTATATAGCCTTCCTTTGCCAAATCCTCAAATAAACTTTCTTAATAATTTTTTTCCATTGTTTTTGTCATTTTTAGCTCACCTGAGCCGAAGGCTCAAGTGAGGTTTTCTGATCAAAATTTGTCCGTTGTCTGTCGTCGTCGTCGTCATCGTTGTCGGCGTAAACTTTTCACATTTTCATCTTCTCCTCAAGAACCACTGGGCCAATTTCAACCGAACTTGGCACAAAGTATCCTTGAGTGAAGGGGATTCAAGTTTGTTCAAAAGAAGGGCCACGCCCTTTTCCAAGGGGAGATAATCATGAATTAGAGAAAATTTATTGGCATTTTTAAAAAATCTTCTTTTCAAGAACCACTGGGCCAGGAAAGATGAAACTCAAGTGGAATCATCCTCAGGTAGTGTAGATTCAAGTTTGTTCAATTCATGACCCCCGGGGGTAAGACGGGGCCAAAATGGCCGACCGAAGTTTTACATGGAAATATATAGGAAAATTCTTTTAAAATCTTCTTCTAAAGAACCACTGGGCCAGGAAAGATGTGCCTCATGTGGAATCATCCTCAGGTAGTGTAGATTCAAGTTTGTTCAAGTCATGCCCCCGGGGGTAGGGCGGAGCCAAAATGGCCGATCAAAGTTTTACATAGGAATATATAGGAAAAATCTTCACAAATCTTCTTCTCAAGAACCACTGGGCCAAGAAAGATGAAACCCATGTGGAATCATCCTCAGGTAGTGTAGATTTAAGTTTGTTCAAGTCATGACCCCCAAAGGGTAGGGCGGGGCCAAAATGGCCGATCAAAGTTTTACATAGGAATATATAGGAAAAATCTTTAAAAATCTTCTTCTCAAGAACCACTGGGCCAGGAAAGATGAATCTCATGTGGAATCATCCTCATGTAGTGTAGATTCTAGTTTGTTCAAGTCATGACCCTCGGGGGTAGGGCGGGGCCAAAATGGCCGATCAAAGTTTTACATAGGAATATATAGGAAAAATCTTAAAAAATCTTCTTCTCAAGAACCATTGAAACACGAAAGATGAAACCCAAGTGAAATTATCCTCAGATAGTGTAGATTCAAGTTTGTTCAAGTCATGACCCCCGGGGTAAGGGTGTGGCCAAAATGGCCGACCAAAGTTTTACATAGAAATATATAGGGAAACCTTTTTAAATCTTCTTTTCAAGTACTTCAAAGCCAGGATTAGTTATATTTGTATGGAATCATCCTCAGGTAATGTAGATTCTAGTTTGATCAAATTATGATCCCCTTGGTGGTTAAAATTCAAGCCCCCCCCCCAACTTAAGTTAACTTCAGTTCTGATCTGGTATGTGTTTTTTTCCTAGCTCATGTGCTCAGGTGAGCGCTGTGGCCCCTGGGCCTCTTGTTTGTATGTACCATCACTATCATGGCCAGTTTTTGCTTTCAAGTTTTCAGATTTATTTTCCAAATAATCAGTCAAAAATAAATTCATTTATGAGCAAGAAATTTACAGCGTTTTGTGAGATTGCTTAACATCTTCATTGAGAAATTGAAAAAAATGAACCTTAAAATTTATACTACTAGTAGTGTGCTATAAAATTTGAATTTTAGTTTTTTTATTTTTCTTAAATTTGTCAGGTGATAAGAAAGGGCTATTTAACTCTCCATAATATCAGCTTCATGAAGGGTGGATCCAAGGATTTCTGGTTTGTCCTGACGGCTGAGAGCATCTCCTGGTTCAAGGACGAGGAGGTGGGTGTTTTCGTTCTTAGCAATATTGACTCACCAAGAAAATACATTTAGATTCAAAATATTTAATAAAATGAAATTCTCAAATGTATTAAGTATTAATTACCGGTATTATTATTATTTTCATCTGGGATTAAAACTTAAATATGAATTCAAATTCTTCAATGTATTATTTTTTTTATTGTATACATATATGAATTTGCTGTGATATTTTGTGATTGAAAACTACCTTTTGAATTAATATACATATTTCATAATGATATTTCTCAAGTCAATAATCTCTCTCATGCTTCTAAATTGTCAAATTATTTAATCCAATATATGTTCGATAATTGTTGTAAGAGAAGAATTTCTGATCAAAGCACACACAACAAAGAAACCAGTCACTATATGTTAATACATAACTGTTTCATGATTCAATCCTAAGTTTTCCCACCAAATGGAAAGTTGATTTTGTTAAAGTACTGTATGCTAACCAAGATCTTTATGCACTTTCCTCCACATACCTTTTGTCGTTTGTGAATTTATTGCAATGTGTTTTTCCATTGTATGACTGAATATAACCTTCAAAATCCATTCAACGTCAAAATAACATCTCCATCAGCATGCTAAATAACAAGCATTTTAGTTTGTATTTTTGTTCTTGATTACGAGCCATTTTTCTGTGATAAAGTTTACAGCTGAGTATTTCTTTAATGAAAAAAGAAAATCAACATTGTTTTTTAAAAAATCGTTAACGCTTTCAAACTTATACAAGTTCTTTCCTATAAATATCCTATTTACAAAATTATATACTGGTAGTTAACATTGAAACCTTCACTATTGAATGACATGCATGTGCAAGTTTATCTTGGTCACAGGGCATGATATTTCTAATATTTTGACAAAGTAGACAAATTGTAGTAGTATCATTCTGATATTTATGTTTTTGGAATGTATGCAATCCATGTTTAAAAAACCTATGCCTAAATGTACATAATTTCATGAACATTTTGTCACACAATGAAGACTTTGAACTTGCAGGAGAAAGACAAGAAATATATGTTATCTCTGGAAAATTTAAGAGTGCGGGATTTAGAAGCAGGGATTCTGAACAAAAGGCCTTCGTTTGCTCTGTATTCAAATGAGAATAGGTATATAATGGTAGACGGATCGGAAGATTCCAACCCTTCTATATCGACCAGTCCTAAACTACCAGGCTGTTATGTTGTGTGTCTGTCTGTCTGTTCTTTGTGTTAAGTGTTTCTGCACAGTTTGACGGCATGCAAAGTAGACAAGTGATTTGTACATATAGTTATCTGTAATGTTAAAGGTTTGTTTTATTAATTTCAGTTTTAATGTTACTTTCCTTCTCTTTCTCAAGTTTTATAACACAATATTTTATAATGCAGTCTGAGTCCTATTTAAAGACTTCTCTTCCAGTTTCAGTAACTGAAAAAAATAAAAGTCCATGTTAATTGAAGTAAGTTTTGTGCAAAAGAATTGGGAAAGGGGGTGTTCAGAGGTTACTTAAAGGCAGAGATTTTAAGCACCGCCTTCAAAAATACCTGGTCTGGGTAGCCCTGTCAATCAAGTGTGTGAAGGTCCATCAATGGATGCTGGAACTTGATTGACAGTTACTTACTCAGGTCTCTGTGTATACCCTGTACACCTTGTTTGGGACTCGTGGTGACCTTCTAATTAACTTTTGATCCTTTGATGTTTACTGAACATTGTATACAGAAACTGTATTACTATGAACATTTTTAGATTGATAATATATAAATTAAATATACCTTAAGTATTTGAAAGGATTATAATATTATATACATTTTTTTAAAATTAACCTTTGGTACATAATTTTTTTTTTTCAAATGAAATTTCGCTATTAATTTTAATATGCTAAATCATTATGGTAACCTTCAAGTGGAAATGTTATTGAAAAAGTTCAGAGCAGCACGAAGTGAAGTAATTAAATTTTAAAATATAACGTTTCTAATCATGGGTCACTTATATTTTCCTTTTTTAATCAGATAAGAATTTACAAGCAGTATTTTTAGCATGTTTCATGGTGAAAAAGCTTTATTAAGGTTAGGATAAATTTAGATATTTTTTTTTTTTAGTGAAATGTACTTAACACGACTCTCTTTTTGTTTAATTAATAGAGAGAATCCTGTGGATGAATAAATTTTTAAAGTCGAATTGGGTTGTTACAGGAGTTTTTTTTTTAATTAAAACATACACTCAAATCTAAAATAATCTTTGTTTTAATATTTGAATTTATAGTATTATATCATATTTTTTAAGTTGTTAGGGGTGTTCTCAAAAAGTCAAAAGTAAATCAATATAATTTTACTACTAATTTTAAAATTGTCTCAAAATCCCCAACACAGGTAAAGTTTGACACTTGGTGTATTTCACTGTGTATTAAATCACTTCCTGTGTATAGGGATTAAGAGACAGATGACCAGAGGTAGACTGCTAGCCCCCAAGGCATTCTCACCTGTACAAAATAAGCCCCTCCCTCACCTGGAATTTACCACCCGGTAAAAAATCTCTGCCTTTAAGTTGTTAGTGTTTAATAGTATACCTTTTTATTCTTAAGATTATTCATAATATTTAGACATTTTTACTTGGAAAATAAAAATTAAAGATAAGGTTACCGGGTAATGATATGACAATAAGATTTCCAAAACAAGTATAGGAAAAGTTTATAATCCAGAAGCTGAAATAGTAAAAAAGCTAAATAAATGTAGTTTGACAGCTTGCCTATTTAATTTGAGTTGGAATTTTGATTCTGTCTTTCAAATCCTATTATTGTAAGACTGAAAAGCTTCCATCCTACCTGTACCTGTACAGGATTCACTCATACTCCTTGTCAACGTAACAGGTTGTTCAATCCAGCACTAACCATTCCCGTCCTCAAGAATTTGGCACAAGTGCATATTTGATAACATTACAACAAACTTATTATTAACCGAAAGACTGAAAACTATTCTAGGAAAAAGAGAAGAAATATGTTATGAGTCTGGACGGCCTATTAGTTCGAGACATACCTGACACAGGCTTTATGAATAAAAGAAAGTCATTCGCAATCTTTAACCAAGATAACAGGTTGAGTGATCTACGTATACGCAACTGCACGCATAGCATTGGTATTATGTGTTATATCCTGTGCCTAACACTAAATCCTTGTTTGCTTTTTTTTATGTTCCATATCACATATTTTGTGGAATAGAAATGGTGGAAATTATTTTAGTTTTAAGCAAATTGTACTGATTGAGAAAATCATGCATCATATCATGTACATATGCAGTCACTCATTTATGAGAAGACAACAACATTGAACTTGTAGTTCTTGTTCATAAAAAAAATCAGATACATTTATACTGCTCAAAAAAGAGTTAGGTCAGCTCTTTGTGGTACAAATTTTAATATGTCTTTATATGTTTTTCTAAACAGTTGAATTTTCAGGTTACTAATTACATGTTAACTTAGCAAATCAGTGCCTTTTTACTGTGTTAGGCCTACCATCCAGCTAAAAGGCTGCGGCATGACAACTTTCCTATAATTGTAGTACGAGTGTACAAATTTAACAGCACTGTAGCATGTTTGAACATTGAACTTTCTAGGAAAAAGAGAAGAAATTCATGATCCCCCTCGATGGCCTCAGAGTGAAAGACGTGGAAAGCGGTCTATTCACTAAGCATTGTTTTGCATTGTTTAACCCCGAATCTGGAAGGTATGTGATGAAGCCAGAGTCACACTTCTGAGTTTTCATCCTTATTACGACCTTAACATTTACTTGGATTTTACTTTTTCTTCATGTATACACTGTAGCTAACGGGAAATTTTTTTTTGTGGGTGCTGTGTGTGTATCCATCCTTCATCCTGCATGTGCATGGCTTGGGGTGCTAACATACCATTTGCCTGTGTAGTGCTCCTGCATTTTGACTTTATGAAGTTTCGAAAGAGTGAGAGAAAAAAATGCTTGAAAAACTTCCACTGTATTTATTATTAGCTAACACATACATTTATTGAATTTGGAAAGAAACATATATAGTCCAAATCTAAATGGATCCAGAAATCATGCCTAAAATATGAATTGATCAAGCTATTAAGCAAGACACAAGATTACGTGACTAGAATTTCCTCTGTCACCCATGATTTTTTTGTAGCTTACATATTCATAATTTCATTGGAGTAAGAGAAACTATTGAAACTTAAGAATTACTAATGATATATTGATGTCAGTGATATTGGAAATAGTTGAGGATCTTTGAGAGCAGCTAGTGTTACTTTAAGTATGGAACATAGTGCTTTTAAAATATCATTGCTTTTGTAAAGATACGTGAACCTTGTGAGTGAAGTTATAGCTAGTTATAGCTTATCCTGCTACGATAATTCTCAAAGCATTTCTAAACAAAATTAATGTTGCTAATTTACATTTATTTCAGACTGTTACATATCAATCCTGGATTTAGGTTTTGGGGAACTTGATAAGTTTAGTGTAATTATTATTAAGGACATTCATGCTCTAAACATACCAGTTGTTCACCAATGCTGAAATATGCTGGATTGATAGAACTTTACAAGTATTTAAAAGCCATCAAGGAAAAGTGTTCTGAAATCATTGAGTCTTATGAGAGGAGTTAATGAGAATTCCATGGCATGTTCTTTTTAAATTCATATTTTAAATAGGTGGTGCTTAGTTTTAACTTGGTGATTTTGTTTCAGTTAAACTTGTTTGAATAACTTTATTTACACTATGAATTATGAAATTATGGCGTTGTGATCATCACCCCTCATGTGATCATGGTAATACCAACAAGACCTCGATCTGAATGATATTTCAGTTTTTTTACTGAAAATCATTTTTCTTGGTTTATATAGTTCAATCAAACAAAATACATGTATGTTACAATGTATATATGACATAACTTAATGATGTTTGTAAGTTTTTTAAAGCAGATTCACTCCCATGATGAATCAGTATATCCTGAATGTTGTTGTATATGTAATGTACACACATATATGATCATAACATATGTACCCTTCATTGTTATATTACGTACATCACTTACAAAATTACATAACAGGAAGAAAGAAAACATACTCACCATTTTGACTAAGTACATGTAGTAGTATCGTACACAACTATTTCATAGAACAAGTATATACTAGTAATATATTAAGACAAATTCCACACATTTCTGTTCTGCATTCTGCTTTTTGTTTCCATTATAATCATGTGTATAATATATTGGATTATAATCCATTTTATGTATATCTTAGTTCAATTTATTTGATTGAATATGCAATTTACATATAACCATAATATTAATGATTAATTATATTTTCAAATGTTAAAGTGCCAAAGATAGTAAATGTTTTTTATTTTCAAATATAAGTGCCAAAGATTTTAAGATGTACAAATTTTAAAAGTTAAAAAAAAGAATCAAGGCAAGTAATGATAAAGTTCAATATGTTGTTGGTAATGCATTAATATTTGGACATCTAAAAGTTTTCTCTTGATGTTTTCAACTGAAGCATTAATTTGTTCAGGAATGTATACAAGGATTACAAACAGCTGGAACTATCAGCTGAAAACCAGGAGGAAGTGGACAGCTGGAAGGCCTCTCTCCTCAGGGCGGGGGTTTACCCTGACCGGTCCCAGAACGATGATGATAAAAAGGTGGGGGTATAGTGAGCGGTCTCTGCAGGGCGGGGATTTCCCTGACAGATCACAGAATTAAGATGGCAAAAATAAAACTGGAGGTTTAAACCTGGGGGGAAAGGGGGGTCATGGAAAAAAGGAAACAGGGATAAATGGTGCTTTTGTCTCATGTATTTTGGAATGTGTTAATATGTTAAAACTAAAAGTTTGATGTTAAAACTAAAAGTATGATGATGTCAAAAGTCATGAAATGTTAGACCATTGAATCAGTTACAGAAGGCTATAACTGTTCAGATGATGATCTAATTGTAAAGTAAGCTGCTTATAGTTAAAGAGGATAAGTGATATCATAATTTTATTTTATAAATTATGAGAAATACAGATCAATAAAAAATTAAGTTAGGCATTCTGATGGGGGAAAAAATATTGTAATGATCAAATATATGTTCATGTCCATGTTCGAAAAGTATATTCTTCGAATTTAATATTGATATTGAACAATGCATTTCTTATGTAGAATAAGGAGGATGTGGGTTCCATGGACCCACAGCTGGAACGACAGGTGGAAACCATTAGAAACCTGGTGGAGTCCTACATGAAAATTGTCAACAAAAACCAGAGAGACCATGTCCCTAAATGCATCATGCACATCATTGTCAATGAGGTAAGCCAAGAATTTCAGAATGCAATCCTCATGTTAGAAACATACATGTACTATACATATATAGGGTAGGTGTTATAATTTGGAGTATTTTTTTGTTTTGTGAATTCTTCTATACAAAAGAAGTAGGATTGCAGAATTACATTGATTAAATATACATGGAATTATTTTGATTTTCTTATAATCAAGAGATATAAATTGTATATCTATATGTACCTGCACATGTATGCTGCATGTTTAAAATTCTTTATATATATAATTCATTTTTATGATTCACAGATAAAAGAATTCATTGGAGGGGAACTGCTGGCTCATTTATACTCAAGTCCCGAACAAGTGAGTAATGTGTAGTGCTTGTTCTTTTCCTATGTTGACTGAATATAAGCATTGTCATGCAAAATTCAATGTAGAAATGCATTCCACATTCTACATTTGGAATATATAAAATTTTCTGACTGATTTGAAGCATTATCATGCTAAATTTAGTGGAAAATACATTCTACATTCAACAAACAAAAAAATAAATGTTCTTGAATTTTGAATCCAGATGATGAAACAGAATAGATATTTTTAGCTCTACTGGTCAGAGACCAGAAGAGCTTATGCGATAGTAATGCGTCCGGCGTCCGTCCGTCTGTCTAGCTGTCTGTCTGTCTGTAAACAATTTTTCAAAATGCTACTCCTCCTACAGTTTTGATCTGATTTCAATATAACTTGGCATATAAGTAGACTACACTAAGATACATAATTCTGTGTATCGGTTTTTGATTTCAACAAACGGTGTTGGCGTTGTTTCTAAAAATAGAAATTTCTGTGAAATTCTTTCAAAATGCTACTCCTCCTACAGTTTTGGTCTGATTTCAATATAACTTGGCACACAAGTAGACTACACTAAGATACATAATTCTATATATCAGTTTTTGATTTCGATGAACGGTGTAGGCGTTGTTACTAAAAATAGAAATTTCTGTAAAATTCTTTCAAAATGCTACTCCTCCAACAGTTTTGATCTGATTTGAATATAACTTGGCACACAAGTAGAATACACTAAGATACATAATTCTGTGTATCGGTTTTTGATTTCGACGAAGGGTGTTTGTCTGTTACTAAAAATAGAAATTTCTGTAAAATTCTTTCAAAATGCTACTCCTCCTACAGTTTTGGTCTTATTTCAATATAACTTGGTATATAAGTAGACTACACTAAAATACATAATTCAGTATATCGGTTTTTGATTTCGACGAACGGTGTTGGCGTTGTTATGAAAAATAGAAATTTCTGTAAAATTCTTTCAAAATGCTACTTCTCCTATAGTTTTGGTATGATTTCAATATAACTTGGCACACAAGTAGACAACACTAAGGTACATAATTCTGTATATCCGTTTTTGACTTCAATGAACATTATTACCTTGGTTAATAAAGATAGCAATTTCTGTTACTCTCAAAATGCTAATTCAAATACAGTTTTAGTCTGATTATAATGTAATGTGGCATGCAAGTAGTCTACACTAAGAACATAAAGAGACTTATTCAAGGATCATTATATTCTCTTTTTTGCTGGTGTAAAGTTTCAATTCCCAACTGCTTAAGTACTTTACTCTTCCTTTGCTATAAGTACAAACCAGTAGAGCTTCAGTCTCGACAGAGACTTCTGGTTTTTATAATTAATTAATTGATAATCGTTTAATTAATTGTAGAGTTCTATGATGGAGGAGTCTGCTGAGGAAGCTCAGAGGAGGGAGGAGTTACTGCGTATGTATCACGTGACAAAGGAGGCCCTGAGCATTATAGGGGACATCTCCATGACCACCTCCTCCACCCCTGTACCCCCACCCGTGGATGATGATTGGCTGAAAGTGGACCATACACAGCAAAATGGGTGGGTTATTTTTTTCCATATCAATGGTCAAGAAATTAGTACAAATTAAATGGGTTAACTAGAGATTAGGAATTACGCTGCATTTCATTCCCGGAAATATGCATAGCATTTCCGACATTTTTTTATTTCATTTCCGACATTTTTTGTTTTCATTTCTGACACAATTTTTTTTTTCATTTGCGGAATTTACCTGTGCGGCAATTCAATGTTTTCTAAGTGAAAGAAAATGGAATTTTAAAAGTATTTATACCAAAATATTAATAAAAAAATTAAAAAAAAAAAACATCTATGCATACATGTAGCACTAAGTCTTGGTAAAAGAGTTCAATGTACATAAAACTTTTTCACCACATTTAATAAGCACGAAATTAAATGTCAGTGACAACACCATACTTATGTCCAAGTCACTGATAGATTTACAAAATTGGATTTCAATGATTTATTTCTTTAAATTTTCATAAGTAAAGTTATCAAATCTGTTACTATAGGTACTACATATGTATTTGAAAAATGTCGGTAATGAAAACAAAAAATTGTTGGAAATGAAAACTAAAAAATGCCGGAAATGAAAATTTGATAATTACCAAAAATTTCGGAAATGAAATACAGCCAGGAATTATATATATGATAAAACTGTCATTAAAAGTTTTATTAGAATTAATTCTTATAAAAAGAAAATTCCTGTAAAGTAAAAAAAAGGAAATTTACAAGTTTACCTGGTAGACTTCAACACAATACTTTTCTGTAACATACTTGACAAATGAATTCATCTTTTTCTTTTCTCGTATACAGTAGACCTAATTCAAGGCCATCCTCTCCCAAGCCAGGAAGGGCCCCTCCCCCACCACTCCCTAACCGCCCGGGCAGTGCCCCTCCCCAGAACATGCCGGCCAGGGCAGCACCAAACATTCCATCCAGGCCAGCCCCAACGGCCCCTGGATTCAGCGCATCTAATGCAGCGGCGGTCGCCAACATGATGGGAGCCAACGTCCCTCCAATTCCAGCGTAAGTTGACAGTCCTGGCGGTCTAGTTTTGTTGTTGTGAAGTGGAGAGATTTTGAGATCTCGCATGTTTATTAGCATCATATAATGTTGACATAGACGGAGGAAACTTAAGATTTTTTTTTTAATCATCATATTGTTTCGTGATTTTATTTGATCTTGGACTTTATTTTAGTTTGAATTGAGAACAATATGAAGATGTTTGATAAAAATTTTTTGATTTTTTTTTTTACATTGAATATTTAGGGCAATTTTTACCAAAAGATAATTAATTATTCCAATAAAAAATTCTGATAGGAATTTGGTCAAAAAAAAAAAGAAGATGAAATTAAGTAACATTTTGTCAAATATATAGATATTAATCATATTCTGTATTTGTGTATAAGAGATAAGAATTAGAGCAGTGGTTGCTTTTGAATTGGTGCAGATGTACCTATTTTATTGGGGAGATAACAATGACACATACAGTATTTTTGGTGCAAATGCTCACTGCCTTCCAGCTGGGTAGATGGTTAGCATTGCGATTAGTTGTGGCTCATTTTAAAATAATCAAAGATTTATTAATGAAAACATATGCATGTCATAAAATACTCTAATTGTGTTAAAACAGTATCGAGATTTAACGCTACTACAGTATCTCAAAATTGTCATACTTTAGATCACATTTTCATGAAATGCCCTTTTTTTCAAGATGATATATGTGAGGACAAAAGTTTCATTTGCAGATTGCAATGCGTAATTAAGTAAAGGTTTTGTGAATAAGAAGTGATTTACAGTATACAGTCAAGAAAAGTTAAGATGTAAATTGAAAAAAGACTTCCTTTAGACTTTTTGGGGTAAATTTGGGCAGATAAAATCAAAAGTAGAATAGTAATAATCTACGTCTTACAATTGTCTGTTTTGCCTAGTTTAGTAAAGTAATACCGGTATAAAAAACTAATATTTTTCCCAAGTCATACAGCATGGGCACATTTTGTCTTTTTTTACAGGAAATATGATGTGAATATTGACCGGAAAACGGCACAAAAAGGGTTCGATACAAAACACATCTTCCCAATAACTCACTCTCTGTTTGGCTGTTCTAGTTTGATTTTGACAATGATACATAATGATTGTCAAACAATATAGAAAACTGTGTTTCAAACCATGTTTAGTTGTTAGAACATTGGTGTTAAGATATCATTACACAATCACAGCAGAAAATTGAAACTTAGCATACAAATAATACCGGTATATAGAAATGAAAATCCTGTGAAATAAATCTCTCTTTAATTTAAAACAATTTGAAACACAGTTTTTGTCATGTTTATTTTTGCTATATATCTAACACACTAGAATTTATTATGTACTCGTTATTTATATATAGTGTGGTTTGTACTCACACACAAGTAAATGAACTTCAAACAGAAAGTGAGAGACACACCACATTCAGCTAGAAATGGTGGTGGTTAATGTTTGGAATATAAACATATGTAGATGCAGGGCTGAAAAATAAAACATTAGAACATGTGCTTCTATGGGGAAAAGTGCAAAAGTAGAAAAAAAAAAAGATATGCACCTTGATGCACTGCTGCATTGATCTTTATGGCAATGAATGCATGTTCTAATGGTAGTTTTCTTCTCTTTTTAATTCATTTTTTTCTTGAGGTCAATTGCTTTGCTTCAGTATAAGAATGTTTACATGCAATCAGAGATATGTATATGTGATATATGTCTCTGCTGATTTAGTGCTAAAAATAATCTTTGCGACAATGGTGAATTTTCAGTGCTTAACTAGTCACTGACAATAAGGGAACACTAGAGCTATTTTTTGTTGGATTCTTTTCTTTTTTCACATTTTTTTTTTTATGGAAGACTGGATTGAATGAAATTACCCCTCAGTGCATTTTACCTGTCTGTGTGCAAACTAATAATTTGATACTGTGCTTTGTCTTGCAATTTTCATTGGTTGATATCTTTATCTAATAGTGAGCACATTTTAATCTCACATTTTCTAATACCGGTACATGTGTACTTATTTTTTTAACCAGATTGCACACCTATAATTGTATATATTTTGAAGGCCATCACCGGTACCATAATATTCGAAGGGAGTGCAGGAAAAATGCAGGAAAATATTAATTATGAAATTTCTAAATTACTGTTTATATTAAATGATAAAATCAATCAATATATTGGAGTGCTGTTATTAAATAAAATAGGACTACATGCATTTGGTTAAAATATGTTGCCTAAGGCTACCTTTTAATTCATTGATTTCACACTTTTATTTTTCTTTTATTGGCAATAAAGTAGATAAGGTATTTTTTTTAATTTTAATTTCAATTTTCTTTAACATAAAGATTTTTTTTAATCACAGATATACTTTCCATTTCTGGTCAAAATTTCTGCTTTATCCATTGCTTAACAGATTGTATAATGTCCTCGGTATTTTCAAACGAAGTAGCCAAAATCTCAAAAATAACATATTTGAATACTGAGCTGCATAACATTTTATGCAATACCAACTTTTTATTTTATCAAAAATACAATAAAATCGGCAATGCGGCTCTTTTCTTTTATATGGCTTCAAAATCTACACAAACGCATTATAATAAAATATATCAAGATAGCATAATAATAATGAATAATCTGCTTTTAATTTTCATGTAAAAAAAAAATTTCTTCTGCCTTTGCATAATTTGAATAACTTTATTTTGATTTGTAAATCGCATATATATATTTTGTATTTATATTTGGTGAAATGCATTTAAACATAATTAATTTAGCACACTAGTGTCAGTTTCTGTTTAGGTGCAAAACTAGTAATGTCACAGTTTTCACATTGTTAATTGCTTTGAAGTAACATTATGACTGGCCGGATAAGAGGATATAATTATTGTTAATTATGAGCTTTTGCCAGTTTTTTCTATCCGGACTAAATTCAGTTTGTTAATTTTTATAGACGGATTGGCTCTTTAATTTGTTTTAATTCTTTATTTAAAGATGTATATCTTAAATGACAAAACTTGAAATTTTGATTTATTAAAAATATTGAGTTATTTTGTGATATAAAGTTTTAAATTATATTTTTGTTGTGAATTATAGTTATTATAGAGGATTCATAATTGCACACTCTTCTTAATTTGGTGCAAAACAGTAGTCAGTTTTTGCTGTTACATAGGGAGATTTTTTCTTAAAATTCAGTATTTTTTACCATTAATATTTTATTTTATATATCAAATTAAAGTTTTGATTTATTAAAAATATTGAGTTATTTTGTTATATAAAGTTTTAATTTATATTTTTGTTGTGAATACATGTATACAGTATATATATAATTTTAAACTTTTTTAAAATGAACTTTTTACATTAAATTGTACTTATTAACAGTTTAGCTCGTTTGGTATTTTACTCAAAATGGATTTACCTTTCTGACGAATGCTGAATTAACAGGCATTTGTATTTTGACTGTTGAATATCTTTTGAAAATAAATTACATTTTAATGCAACAAGGGAGAATCCACATAAAACATGGGATCAGAATTAATAAGGGACATTCCACCTTAATGAATGGGATACAGAATGAATTTTTAGTGAGAATGACTCTATTATAGTCTTTTTTTTGTAAAATTTAGCTGGAATGTTGGCCAAGCGGTTGGAAGTGCATATATGCGCAAGTACGTTGTCTCCCAATGTAGCTTTTATTTGTATTATCAGGATTCCTGTTTATTGCTTATTAATTTCACTAATTCTGTTTATGTAAAATTTGATTTGCATGGTTCGTTATAAGTTGTATGCTTCTTGCTTTTCTATTACCCTTGAATGTATTTTAATCAGAGTTTGATTACAATTGTTCATTTTAACAAGTGTCTTGGTACTAGTATATAAAATATAACAGGATTTGTCCTTCATTTGGGATGGGGGTTAAAATTAAAAGCACAAAGTGGAGAGTTTATTTTTGGATAACAGAGAAAAGAAACTTAAAAAATAAACCTGTCTTGCTAAAAATATGATAAAATGAGGGTAGAACTAATACATGGATGCCAAGGGAAGATTCAGATCCTCACTTGGGGGATTTTCAATATTAAAGTAAATTTGGCTGAAAATACCTTAGACCCTATCCATAGTAAAAGTGAACCCATTCTTAGATATTAGAGAGATAGTTATGTATATGAATTGAAGCTGCTTTTTAAGTCCCCCTCTCCCAAAACTTGAAAGGAAGGTGATGTTAGGCCCCTGAGTTTGTGGACTGAAGGATTTACTTTCATCTTCCCATTAAGGAAAAAAGATCTGGATCTTTCATTGAATTTTAACTCTTTATATTATGAGCTTCCTGATATTATATAGTTATACAATGTAGCATTATTTGCATCATTTTGCATTTCAGGAATATATATGTATATATACATATATACAGTTATATATTTTTATACACTTTGTCTCTATATCCTTTTAATGTATGCTTCTGTAGAATTTAGTCCAAAAAAATGTAAAACTATTTGATTTATAGTCTAGCTGGTATATATTTTTTTCTTGATTATTGAATATATATACATGCTATTTTTTAACTCCTCTATATTCTTTTCCAGTCGCCCAGGACCCGGGGGAAATATTCCTAAAATTCCAGACCGACCATCCATCCCTTCAAGACCAAACATGAATTGAGAGGAGGATCAAAGGTAGCAACAGAGGGGTGTAATTCATTGAGAGAAGACGAAAAAATGAAGTACATTTATGCAAGGAAATATAGTGTATTTCATATTTGATATTAGTGAGTTCTAATAAAAAAAAAAGACACGGTTAATACAATGAAAATAAGTGAACATTATATCATCAGCAGGCTGATGAACTTTCATTTCTTCCACAAAATGAAAATGAAAAATTTTTGGACAAGGGAAAAAAACAGGAATATGTGTAAATCAAAGTCAAAAGGGACAAAGTACAGGGAAAATATGGAAACCTTCTACAACTTGGGAGATTTTTTCCTCCAGCCAAAATTTTATATGGAAATTGTCTCAAGATGATCTGTGAATGTAAATCTACATGTATTTATGATATTGCTGAATTTGCTGTAATTTTTCTTTTTGGATATTGACTATCTAAATGACAAGAGTTTAAACCTATGGAAATTATAGAGAAAACTTGTCTCTGCATTCAGTGTTAGAATGTTTGTTATGTCCATGCAGTACCCACATCTTTGTGATATGTTGTAAGGTCGTACATGCATATATTTTAGGAAAAAAAGCTGTAATGTCCAGTAGATTCTGAAATTGTAATAAATGTTGTAAAGTCTATAGAAAGTGATAGATTTACTAATAGTTGAATAACATTAATGTAATCATTGAACTGCACATAAATTGTCTGGTATTAAATGCACATATTTTAATGGTAGGAAAATTAAACAGAAATTATGAAATGTATTACCGATGACTGAACTTGATTTTGAATAATGGCTATCTGATTTAATATGAACAATTAATGTACTGTTTGAGACCAAGCAGAATGCTATTTATAAAACGGTCTGAATTTGAATTGCTGCAGAGGTCCATTAGTACTGTATTTAAATGTGTATAGATCGTTGTACAGAATCAAAGTATGTACATAATACTGTACATTGTATAATATGTAGATAGTACCTTGTTATCATGGTTATGCTGTTTATATTATGTTTGTACTATGTGATGATTTGTGCAATCTTGTTTTAGTTTCAGTTCTTGGAACTCTTTTACTTTACCACCTTCATATTAAGTTTGAAGTTTAATAAGAAAGAGACTGTCAGCTGTACACTTGTAAAATTTAATGGCTTCCTTGTTCATATATATTTATTTGAATAGACAAACATGTGTAATTTATTACATGCCTTTTGTTCACTTTGCCAAGTTTTGGTCATACAATTGAAAATAAATGTCTAAATGGAAATACTTAGGAAGAGATATATGTCTATGAATTTTGAATTCATTACAAAGTTAAAATAATTTTAAACATATACATGTACATACAGTACGTGTATGATACATGTACATGTTCTTGTAAAACATTTTGAAATTCATTTGTCTCCACACGCAGTATTTGAACATGATGTATGCCTTCTTTATAAACATACATGTATATCTGGTAAAATATTTTCTTTTGAAGACATTATGAAAAACATCAGACAGATATATCCTCTGTTATTAAATGAGATTGATTGAGCAACATTCAAAACTATCATAATTGAATAATGATAAACTTGATCACCTTTCTTTGATATATTTTTACAAGTTTACAGTAGATTTCATAAAGTCATTTTTGTTGCATTTATAGATAATGTTCTAATTAGATGATAAATCATGCATGATCTAAAATGACACTCTTAGCAGAATTCATGTCCACATTTCTGAGTATGCAGTGAGAAGTTTAGTGAATGTTTGTAATTGTGTGTTAGAACTAGACTATGTCTGGTAGATAACAGTGTTGTAATATAAATTTAAGATAGGGAAATTTTTTGGATTTGTATTAATTAGCCAGAGTTAATGGACAGAGAAATGTCAGATTAATCTTATTGCCTGCTTGTCAGCATCAGATTGATGTTACGTCCTGAAGATCTTGAAAACCATTTCTGCTTATAGCTACAAAAATTTAACCAACTTAGAGGTTCGTTTGAGGGAAATCAGTCATGTCATTTAAGTTCATGTATTATAAAACATAATAAATTAAAGTGATAACATATGAAATGGATGTTGTGTTTTAATAAAGAGGGGTCTGATGAGGAATACATGTATTCTCATAATATTGGATATAATTCATTTCAAACCGTAACTCTCAGTCCTTTAGGCCAATACAAGATTACTGGCAAAAGAGGGCATTATCTTGTGTGCAGTCAATAAGATTCTAATGGAGAAATATTGGATGTTGGTATTGAACACATTGACTACTTATGACCTGAGATTCTTTGCTCAAGGTCATTTGGACAAGCTCAAGATCTCTGGCATGTAATGATCTGAAACAAAGTTGATTTTGCAAGATCAAAGTCTCTTCAGAAAAGTGTACAATTCCTCTCCTGGACATATTTATTTATTAATAAAGAAACACTTGAAGCTCATTCTTAATTGGCACAGGTATTCTGAGCTGATTGAGGCTGTGAATGTGTAAGGACCTTGACCCAAGGTCATTTTGGTGAGGTCATTGGCAGAAAAAAAACTGTAAAATTTGATTTTTGTCAGCAAATTTAAAAATAAAGGAAATGGTACTTGAAATGCAGACCATGGGAAAATGATTGCAGTAGAAGGATTAATTTATTGGCTTACAAGCAATCCATTCAGTTATTTATCAATAAAAGATAAATGTTTTTAAAAAGAGATGTAACAACCAGTCTCTTTAAACATATTCTAATAGATCAGATAGATTTGTTATTGAACATTTAACACCTGTTGGAATATTTGAAACATCTGGACAAAATAAAATACTCTGCATTCCCACTTTCTTTGGACCTACATAATCATTCTGATAATCATCGCCAACATGTATAGATTCTGAAGCTGTAGTATTTGCCATGTCCAAAGCCTTCAGGTAAATCTCTGGATCTGGTTTAGCATGACCTACAGTCCAAGCTGATAAAACAAAGTCAAAGTAGTGGAGAATAGACATCCTACGAAGCACACTTTCAAGCGTATCGTCAAAGTTTGATATAGCACCGACTGTAATATTCCTGTTTTTCAACTCCTGTAATACACTGACGGATTCTGGAATCAACACCCAGCCTTCAGTTTCAAAATGCACACAGATATCTTGAGATATTTTACTAAGTTTATCGTTTTTTGAGTCCATTCCACTCTGAGTTAGTGTCTTCTGAACAAGACTGTCCCACCACTGGCGAGATGTTAAGCCATTTTTACTTCCAAAAATAGGAAACTCTTTATTTTGTTCCTTGAATTTAGTCCGGAAGGCTTTGGTGACATTATCTGGATCTAGATCTACTCCATGGACTTTTGCTATATTAGAATACTGATGTCCCACACCACCTAGAACTCGTATCACAGTGTTGGTCACGTCTAGCGTTACTAATTTAACTTGTGTCATGACTGGAAAGAGAGGAACTTCAACTGAAAATACAGTGATGTGTCATTAATAAAATCTTCAAATATTACTCTAAATTCATAACCGTTTAAATGTTGGGAAAGAAGCTATTTATAGATAGGTCTCATACAGTTGGTAATTGCATTAAGTATAGCAGAGACACAGATATCTCTGCACATGATTACAAAAATTACTCTAAATTGCATATTAACAGTTTAAATGCTGAGACAGAAACTATTTAGATAGGTTTCAGTTGGTAATTGCATAAGTATACCGGAGACAAACATGTATACATTTATCTCTCTGATAAAAGCATTGTCACTCAAGGTCACTTTGATCAATTTTAGTTTATAGCGAAGTTTCATCACATGGGCATGCTACAGTTTATGTACACGTATATATACATAATTGATTAAATATAACAATATAGGACTCTCTTTAAAAAGCATCATTTAGTTCAAACTACACCGCGCACCTTTAAAACATCTGACAGTTCTGATTGTCAACAAAACTACACGTGGTTTGCGCACTTGTTTTGGCAGGTTGAGACACGCCCAACAGGAAATGATCAGCACTCAAATCTTTACGTATTTCGATTGGCTTATAAAATATAAATTTTGTTTTGTTAAATTTATATTCTTTATTTTTCAAGTATATGTGTCTAAAATCAATAGGCAAATTATTTGAATTGATTTATGACATTCAAAATTTTGTTTTGCTGTTGAAAAGAAATTTTACCTGAAGGCAGTCTCGCAGTAAAAATCATGGCGCGTATTCAATGACAACAAACGCTAGGCCAGGATTTCTTACAGTTAGTTTCCTCCTTCTTGACGAAGGTAAGATATTTTTTGGATTGTTTGATTATATTTTAGAGTGTCTTTATTGAAAAATAGTTGTGAATGGCCATATTCGATGAATAATTATTATTGCTCAGAGGCATTTCATCTAAAAGACGTGCTGGGGCAGATACAATACCTTATCCATCCCTTTAAATCAGATAAGTTACATCGTAAATAATACACAACATACTTTGTGCATTCTTTTGTAATTGTAAAAGAGCAGTGACGTTAAAATTTATTTGTTCGCCTTCTTTCTTATCTTGTATCAAATTTATTCATTGATTTCGCACTTGATATTTAACTCAAAAAGAATGACAAGGCACACTCCATGTAAAGCAGCAATATTGATTTTATAAAAGTGATTGTTAAGAAAAATTATGACCCTGATAAATGCATGAAATTCACAGGTTACTACACTGCTTCCTAAGTGCATAACTATGTTCAAAAAAGTCTTGTATTGATTAAACAAAGTGCACGTAAGAAATATTCAAATTATTTTTTTCAGTGTTAGATTTTTGAGCACAATAGATTTTACTGAACTCAATCATTTCTTGGAAGTCTCAAATAAACTGGGTTATATAGAAAAAGGTTTAAATACAGGTCTTTGTCCAGTTTGTGGGAATAGAATGGACACAAAACATGCAACAATGGTCTTTATTGTCATATTTGTAGTTTGCAATATTATCCTGTGTAGTCTGAAATACTGTAAACCAACTTTTATTCGCAAGGTTCGCAATAGCCTTGTCATCGCGAATATTTCTCGCCATAAACCGGTCCTTAAAGTCTCTGTCTCTATAATTTACAACAGATCCAAAAAGGCTAAATCACGAAAATTAATTATTGCAAACTAGTTAACCCTTAGTAAATTGCGAAATAAAGTTGTCGTGAATAAAAGTTGGTTTACAGTATATGACGTTTTCCTTGCCTTATATAAATTTGATATTTTGCATGCCAGGAAAACATCAGATATTTTGAATTATATTCTGTGTAGCCTGTTACTTACATGTAAGTTACATATTAACTGCATTTAGAGGTAAATTAGCTTAATATATAATATACTACATGTTTAAATCAATCTTTAAATCACAAAAACATGTATTTTATATGTCATCAATTTGAAAACATCTGCAGTCATTTTATGATTTAATTTCAAGAAGAAAATGTTTTACATGTCAAATGCAAAATTTACAAATTAGTTCATGGCAAAAAATATTTTCATTGAGTAGCTAGCTTTTCAAGGTAGTAAAACTCCCAAATATTTCTTGTAAAATAAATCTTGGTAACTGTTCAGTATATACATGTATTAATTAAATTATTCAAGTATGGATCATAATCATGCAGTGATGTTTAATATATATTTGATTCATTTGTTGATACATGTATTATTGCCCATTTTTTACAGCTGGCCTTGTGGATTTTCAGTATTTTATGGTTTTAAAATTAGAATAATGTGTTTCATTACAACTTTGACATGTTCATTTAAACTATACTACTGAAAAATGAGAAAAGGTGTTAAAAGAATTTAGATGCCAATACATGGAAATGTTAATTGATCCCAAAATTGATGAAAGCTATTGAGCTTGCTTTAAATTTTTATGGGTCAGGTTATTGGAGAAGTTTACTGCTTATTGAAGTGTTTAATGTAAGATTAGGGGTGACATAGTTCAGAGCACACAATGAATTAGCCGAACCTTTATAAAATTGCGTGCAATTTTCAGTAGAAGTAAAGTGCTTCGGAAAGTTTTGTTTGGCCGTCATTATCCTAAATACATTTACAGATAACTCGTAAATATCAGGGAGCAGGCTGGAGTCTTGCCAATGATTCTCACCAAAGGACTAATGCTGTCCATATATATTTTTAAAGAATACCATTCTTTCAGGCAGGGATTATTTTTTCTGATCTGCTATTACATATCAAGAAGTTCATGTTTTATGTTAAAGTTTGTTTTTATGTGTGCACAGTATGGAAGTTTAATTGAGCAGTTTATACCGCCAATTGAGTAAGTTTATTCAACATGTTAGGACATTTTAGATAAACTATAGATATCTGCTGTATCTAGTGTATTGAGGAATTGGCAGTAAACAATTATAAGAATTTACATACAAGATAACTCAGGTTGACTTAAGATTATATTGTCAGAAATTCAAGGACTTCTTTGTTAATTTCTTACCATTCTTCAATCTTATATCTGGTGTGGAAATATAATGTTTTATAGCCATTTTTTTTTGAAAATTTAAATAATTTCAAATTTTAGTTATTGAAATGGTTATACTGTACATATTTTTCCATTACAAAACTTGCTTAGCATGATTATACATGTAATATTAACACAGATGTAATGAGCTACATTAATTTATACATGTTCAACTTTTGTAGTACTAGTTACAGTAGTGCTTAATAAGATATATATACCAACTTTTATATATGTTTTGTTCACCATTTAGTGTTGTAACCAATTAGCATGAATTTTTTGCAACTGAGAAATATTTTCTACAACTGCAAACCAAAATAATGTGTTCGAGTTGATGAATATTCATAAATTAATAGTAATAGGTCTCACAGAATTTCAAAATAAATGTGGTTTACAGTAACCATTCTTTACTGATTTTAAAAGATTCTTGCTGGTACCATTTTTGTAGAGTTCATGTCTGCTCCAGGAAAACATGGACTTACTACTTTTGTGATCTATAAAATTTTTCTTGTATATGTACCATACTTTAAAAGCTTGTTGTTGATGTTAAGCATCTAATATTTGATTGACAAAGTCTGTGCATGTTAAAAGAATAAAGTGTCAAACACACTGCTTAAGATGTAGATAAATCATTTAAAAATAAAGTAATATACTTAAACAGCATTCCATAATCTTTCCATCTAGATTGTGAAGTTACAGAATATTGATTGTTAATTAACAGTTTAGTTGCTGGCAGTATATTGTCAGCAGTTATTCTACATTATGAACATTCATGGAGAATTCCATTATAATTTTTTATTCTTTTATGGGTTGGTTTAAAAAAAAAAGGGTCTACATTATTAATAACACTTTTTGTGTGAATGACTAGCTGACTGCCAATTTAGGAACTGAAGGATTAAGTGCCATATGTATTGTCAATACCAATCATTTGTTCAATGAAAATTGTTAATGGAAAGCAAGAATTATCAATTTTTTTTTAGAATTCATTGTTAAAATGGTGCTGTTTGCAGGCTATATTTTGCAACATTTTTCTGCAGCAGTATTGATTTGGGTAGCATTATAGGTGATCAAAATTATAATTGGCTAGTGGCTGACTGTGTATTAATGCACCCAAGCATATATTTTTGATACATTTTTTATGACTTAGATAATTTATAACTAAAAGAAAAAAATATTCAGAATACAATTTGTTCCCTTATATTATTGATCATATATATATTAACAATGAGGAAAGTGTTACTGAAAAAATTCTGAAGAATATTATTCTAATTTAATTACAGAATGCAAGAGTAGTCCAAAATGAGGAGGGGAATTACCAGGGGAGGACACTCAAACCTCCCTGTCCCCAAGGCCTCCAGAGGATCCCCGGGAAATTCCAAGTCCTTAGGAAGGGGAGGAAACTTTGCCCACTCTGCAGAAGATATCCCCCAGAGAGTTCAGAGTTCATATGGAACCCCCTCTCCTCATAGACGGGCTGTGTCCCCCGGTGACCAGAGGAGGGGATTGAGTGTCCATGGGGATCAAGGTAAGGGAACCTGTTTAGGCTTCTTTTGATCTCCATCACAGAAATACTGTTTGATATATGTTTGTCAGAGAATATGGTCCATAATAAAAAGGTCTTAATACCTACCATAATCATGCATAAATATTTGTATTGAAATGATATAAAAATGATTCTTTTATGCCCTTGCAAATGAAGATTTGGGGGCATATATTTTTTGGTAAAGTGTATATCTGTCTGTCTTGGTTGAGTTGATTTTATTATTAAATGGTTAAAAAATTATGAGACAATGGTTGTACAACAAAGAATATGCTATCATAATATGCTAACGCTTGTAGAAAATACCTGACCTTGAATTCTGCATAGGACTTTCATGTTTCACATGCATAATTCATTGAATATAATGTTATATATTAAAATTTTGTGTTTTTTAGGGGGACAGGCTGGTGTGAGGTATATTACAGAAGACCTCATCAAGAAAATTGCTAAAGAGGATGCCTTGGAAATGATCACAAATCTTAACTTGACTCTGGCAAAGGAGGGGGGTAAAAAGATTAAGGTAATTTTCAAAACCTGAACTTGACCCATCAGGCAAAAGAGTTGGGGGGGGGGGGGCAGTAAGATCAAGGTAATTTATAGGGATTCAGCTCTGATGCAACTTCATCTGATTACAGGTAGTGTGTTGTAGTTTTGACCAATAAGATCTTTTTATTAATATTTTTAACCTCAAAAATGATACTCACACACCAAAGACATTGATTTAGAGACTTTGCTCTTTAACATGAATGTATTTTAAGCTTTTTAATCCCTTGTACAAGATCATTTAGAGCTGCCAGTGTTTAGTTAAGTAAATGTTTTTGATGTTCAATCATTGTTTGTTTAAAACATTTAGTCTTAAAAAAAATCAGTGTTCTCTGAGGGGAAACTTCACACTAATATATTGACATTTGGTCTGAATTTGAAAGTCATTTTTAAATTGACAGTGACCTTTTAAATTTCGGCAGTTACATCACTAAGATATATTTAAATTGCCGCTCTTGATCAGACAAATATCTAGAAGATAAGATTTATTTGTAAAATCTATGTTAATTTTCAAATTGATTAATCGATAGATTCTTTTAAATAAATCAGCATCAAATTTAATAATGCAGAACATTGCAACCTTTTGATTAAGCGAAAAATCTGTTTTTATGCAATAGATATCTACAGTTTAATTTATTTTCTTAAAAGAAATATTATTTGCTCTGCAAATATAAATAATTTATGTATCTTAAGGCACACTTAATTAATTCTTTACAGATTGTCAGCAACAGTGACTGTTACTTAGCATTCATAGGGTTTTAGAAATAAATTTTTAATGAAACAAATGCATGTAGCATATCTGTGTAGCCAGGCATTGAAAGTCACTTAGCAAAAATCTCGATCAGGATCGGGAGACAGAAAATTAAATGTCAGAGTACGCAATGGATAAAAACCTAAACAAATTTTATTGTGACAAAATTTAAATGATATTGCCCACTTCAGTCAAAGTGTGGTGTTTAATTCTACCGACTTGCTGCCAGATATTTGAAATGAAAGGGGATCTCCTATCATTTCTATAAACATGATAAAGACATTCAATAGATATGGATTTTATTGATTTTAATAGATGATGTTGATAATCTTTTTGATCTCCATTTTACCATTGATTCCATATCTCAGATTCTGTATGTAAATTTCATATAAACATTTAAGAATTAGAAAAAATCTAAAATTGGTGTAATAAATTTATTATCAGTTTTATATAATAGATTAATTATGTTTTATTATACATGCATGATAAATGTGCATAAAAAATCATGTATTTGTGCTGGTTTTCACCATAAAAGACAATTTGAAAATTTTTATAACATCCATATAGTGTTTAATGGATATAAGTAGAGTTCTATAGGTCAGATTTCTTCTTTCGATAATATAAAATAGTACAAGTGTACATGTATGTCTTAATTTAAAAATGCCTCAAATGGCTGGTGTATACACTTACAGTAGTCGATTAAATTTAATTACCTTTTAGGCAATAAAAATAATAGTTCAAAGAAAGATCTTCCTGGTCAATTGTTATTAAAACTTTGAAAATTGTAGTTAGAAATGAAACTTTTGCTTTGAAAATTTCAGTTCAAAAACCTCCATATATTTAATTTTTATGAACACTGTATAAAGGGTTATTTTTGCTGTTTAAATTTGCACAGACATGATTGAGTTAAAGAGAGATAACTACTAACAATCAATTAGACTTCAGCTAAGTCTATAAACTAAGTTGGGTAAACCCTGCCAAGCAATTTGGAATCAAGGGACTTGGTTATACACTGTACCAGGTGCATGTAAATGTACAGTAAAACTATTAGGAACTACAATTAACCTCTCAAGACAAGAATATTAGCTACACTGCTAGACGTTACAAATATTCAGTAAATACATATCCCTTTTTAGCTCACCCGAGCCGAAGGCTCAAACGAGCTTTTCTGATCAAAATTTGTCCATTGTCTCTTGTTGTGGTCGTTGTCTTCGTCGCCTTCGTTGTTGTAAACTTTTAACATTTTCATCTTCTCAAAACCACTGGGCCAATTTCAACCAAACTTTGCACAGAGTATTCTTGGGTGAAGGGGATTCAAGTTTATTCAAATGAAGGGCCAAGCTCTCTTCCAAGGGGAGATAATTATGAATTAATGAAAAATTAATGGTTTCTCTTAAAAATCTTTTTCTCCAGAACCATTAGGCCAGGAAATATGAAACTCATGTGGAAGCATTATCAGGTAGTGTAGATTCAAGTTTGTTCAAAATCATGACCCCCGAGGGTAGGGCAGGGCCACAATGAGGGATCAATGCAAAGAATATTTTGGGGAAACATCGTCTCCATAACAGAAATGTTTTGTTTAGTGGTTGTGAAGATTTACATTTTTTTTCAAATAATGCCCGGGGGTGGGGGGGTGGGGGGGGGGGGGTAGCGAAGGGTTACAATGGGAGATCAAGTAATATGTTGGAAAAATTTTTAAAAATCTTCTTTTCAAGTATGGCAAACTTACACATGTATGCTTTATTGATATAGTAACATTTTCAAGTTATAGAAAATTCAAATCCCCCATCCCCCAACAAGTAAACTTCTTAATACTGAGCTGATTTGTGTTTTTTACTAGCTCATGTGCTCAGGTGAGCGATGTGGCCCATGGGCCTCTTGTTATGATAAATATTATGTTTATAAAGAATTATGTGTAATGATAAATTTATTTTGTAGTACATTGAAAACTTGGATAAGCTGAAGAAGTTACAACAATTAAACCTGAGCAACAACATGATCGAGAAAATTGAGAGGTTGGAGAAATGTCTGAAGCTTCGTGAACTGAACTTGTCCTATAATCTGATCCATAAGATTGAGGGGCTGGAAAATCTGATGTACCTGCAGGTGATTAATCTGACTGGTAACAGGATCGAACACATACCCATCTGGCTGGCCAAGCGGTTGAGGGCCTTAAGGACTCTACATCTGGGAAAAAATAACCTGCAATCAGTAAGTAAAATATCGAAAATACACGTGAAAAATAAACTTACAAGTAGGCTGCTTAACAAGTGATGATAAGAGTTTTGATGCATACAACTTTAAATAATTAATGCCCATGAGTTTCTCATAGGAAAAATTTGGTGTACCAGGTACTTGGTAACATTCAATCCATTTCTTTGGTTTCAAATTTTAAAGAAAAAAAAATGCAAACATTGACCAACTTGTAAAAGGAATCATAGTTAAAGTGATGTTAATAAAATATTTTGGAGAACTAACTGGTTCTTGTTTTCAAACAGCTAAGTGAGCTAGCTAAGTTGAAGCCCCTCCCGGATCTGACCCAGTTAACAGTGGCGGAGAACCCGGTGGCCCAGTTACCCCACTACAGGCAGTATCTCGTGTTTCACCTGCGGACCCTCGAAGTCCTGGACAGTCAGCCCGTCACAGAGAGGGACAGACAGATGGCCCGGGACAGGTTCGAACAGGGTCAGTATAGGAATTAAACATTCATGTACAGGTGTAAAGAATATTGGTTAGTTATTGTGTGAACAGTTGAAAGTTAGGGTTTTGAAAGGTATTCCTTGATTATTTTTTCTCTTAGTATACCTGTATAGATAAAAAGTAAAGGATGTTTTAGTAAGCATTATACATGACTAATGTGGAAGATCACAGAAAGTTCTTTTTAGAATGAGAGATTTTAAATTGCTTGTAACTTTGAAAAAACTTTCATTAGCAAGGCCAGCTCCTTACATAGGAAAAACATGTTTAAGTTCCTATTTTGACTTAAGGTTTCCCTGTAGATAAATGATTTAAATCCCCTAAAACAAGGGGGCAAAAGAACAGAACTTCTGAACAAACAATAAAAGTAGGAAATAATTGTCTCCATAATTTGCTGTTAAAATTTTAGATGCATTCTGTGTTTTTTATTCACTTGTATACTGAAGACATTCTTCCAAACTAATTTTGAAAGTTTTGGAATGGTGAAATGAAGGAATTAAAGTTTATTTTGATGTAAACTTTTCTATGAAATGATGAAATATGCTGACTAGTACTCCAACATGTAAGAAAAATCATAGGTTTCTGGTAGAGTCAGTCTTCAACAAGAAGTGAAGTTAAGAACATAGCTAGTGTCGCTGTTGTGAATTTAAATCAACAGTATAGATTTGGTGGCTATGATTTTTGGGAATCCATGTTTTTAATTTTTAATTTTTTTTTTTTTGCATAGATGAGCTGGAGCGATTGGAGAGGCAAGTTGAGGAGGATGACTCGAGGCTGAGGAAGCTTGAGGAAGAGAAGAATCTCTCAGCTCACGAATCCTCATTGCTGAAAAATCAGCAGGAAGAGTACATGAGGCAGCAGAGGATGTCCATGGACAGAATCAAGGACATGGAAAGGGAGCTCGCAGCTAAAGATGACCTGGTAAATTATATATATCCATAGATGAGCTAGTAAGTCATAAATATCTCGGGATAGAATTAAGGATAAAGAGAAGGAGCTTGCAGCTTAAGGTGAGCTGGTAATTTTAATTTATGTCAATGGATAGAGTTAAAGAGATGGGGTGGGATCTTGCAGCTTAAAATGAGCTGATTAATTATAAATAAAAGAATAAAACAAAAGGTAAAAAAAAAACAGTATGTGTCAAGAGTGAGAGTTTAGGGACAAGTCAGGTAAACTCAGCATGTTTGATATGCATGTCAGTAGTTCAAATAAGCAAGAAAGACAAATCTTTATTGCTGGTGTGATTTAAAGGGAGACAACTTCTATATATATGCATTATAATTTGTATGGTGTGAATTCATGCATGGACTTTTAGCAATATTAATGAGCTATATGATATTTGATAAAAAATGAGGAGTGTGAAATTACAGTATAAACATAAAAAAATATATATTTTCATTTGTAAAGGCTTAATGTTTAAACTTCAAAGTTTTACACATGTATAAAGACACAGAACACATAGATAGACTAGGTACTGATTGTTTTTTAAATTTACAAGAGTATCTTTACATTTACTTTTTTAAATCACCATTTTGTATTACTTTTTCCATGTTCTGTACATACTAATAGGAGATTAAGAAACTGCATATATAAGTGTTTTCACACAATAGCTAATCCCATTTAATCTGAGTATTAAAAGAGCAGGGCTAACAAAAGAATATATGTACAACTATTAAAGCAAACCCTGAATTTATAAATTCCCTCTATAAAGTTTACAACTGTGACTTTCCCAACATGTAGTAACACATCAAATTTGTGCAGTTTGCATGCTGCACCAAACGTAATTTCTCCCTTCATGGATGTCACCCCCCAGATACTGAAAAGCTAAAGTTTAGGAGGAATATTTGTGGCATTCTGTTTTGGATTGTTACGTAACGTGTGTTCAGAGCTGTATTGAAGATGTACTTTGTGTAGAGAATTTTGTGATTGTGGATCAAGTCTCAGACAGCTTATTAATTTGTTAATCATGTAGACCAAACTATGGAATGGCGTACATTTCCCAAAGCAAAGGAGACTTGGGACGTTACCGGTAAACCCCCACCATTTCAGGTAGATAATTTAATGGATTCTGATGCCTGGTGGAAAATATGATCATTTAATGAATGTTTTGAAATATTAGGTTTGTTGGGCTGAAGGTGAGGGAGCTAAATGCACTTACAGTTGGTATGTTGCTGTCATTTGGTCTAAATGCAGCAAGATACACACCTGACCAGTATTTAGAAGAACATCAAGACAAGTGTCACAGCCAATCATTTATAAGCATTAATGCAACTGCATAATGACTTACATGTATAGTTATATTCAAAATTTTATAATTATTTTCTATAAAGAACAGTTTTAAAATTTGAAAGATAAATCAAAGTTTATGTTTCCTATAGTATGCATAAGAAAAAATGTTATGAATTCCCTAAGACAATTCAGAAACATTACTCCATCTGTATTAATGTATACCAGTTGCTGTGCTTTTGTTTCTTAGATTTTAAAATCACATTCTGTAAAAATCAAGTCCTGAAATTTTCAGGGATTTAATGAGAGTTCCTACAATAATATTTGTGTATTTTAAGTCCTTTGACCTATATTTGCATTAAGGATAAATTAGCAGAGAATCTTTAGGTAAAATTCATTAATTTTTTCTAAGTGCATGTCTGGAAATTCATTTTAGTTGTAATTCTATCTAAGAAAGATTCCACCACCCCACCCCCCCACCCCAAAAAAAAAATAGAGGGGAAAAAATGATAAAAATTCTACAGTCAGTTTTAGTATAATTTTTCAAACTATGTAAGAAAGAATGTTGTACATTTAATTTCCACAAGACAGCGATTCTGTTTTATATAAGTCTATAGTAACTATCTGGGCTTCACTTGTCAAGCAATCAGTCTGATGGAAAGTGAATTTGTGTAACAGTCAAGCTATGTGATTTCTTTTATAGTTGGGGTATTTGTGTTAGATAATGGTGGATTATGGTAAATGCCCCTGCATAGTAGATAAGTTTTTGGCTTTTCTTCACCATTTCTGTAGTTGTATTGTACCAAATATTTAAAGAGCTGATATTTTGAAAAACTGCATGGGGCCCAGGAAGGGGAAATTGTCTGGAAACCAAATATTCTTCATATAAAAAATTGTAAATGATTGTATACAATATTGATTTTGACACGAGTGTGATGTTTATTCAATATCAATAACTTATTCTTCACAAGTAATGTGCAGGGGCTGTATTGTATAATGCTTTTCAATGGGTATCTATGTGTTTAGGTAAATGAACCAATTAATCCCTCAAAGAGCTGCCTCTGTTATCTTCTCAATAGAAAGTTAAAAGCCTGAAAATACATGTCCGCAGAAGTAAAAAGACAGCCTTTTACTCTAATACGCTGTCTCGTACAAATGATTTAATTAAATTTTACGTTACTGCAAGAATGCCCAGAAAAAGGAATTTAATTGCCCTGCATCAGATGAATTTCAATGTGTTTATTATGTTTTGGAATTAAGTTTGGTGAGAATGGGAGAAGTATTGAATCATGTTGGTGCAAAGTTGTGTGTGTCTCCAGTGCATGGAGTAGGAATATATACCTCTCCTTTGAGCATGGGTTCTCTCTAGGGTGTTAATGAGTAAGTTTCATATACATTTATATATGCTCCCCAATAAAAATTTAATTTAAAGACGAATTTTTTATTCACATTGCGGTGATGATACATGTCTTATTGGATGTAGAAACATGTAGGTTGTGAAACATTATTTGGAGCATAAAAGGTCAGCATGCATCACATGTATTTTTAAGTTTTTGTTTTTTCTCTTGTGATATTTATTCATCATTCATTTTGTTTGCGTTACAGTAGATTAAAGGATCTTAAATTACTTTGTGATTTTGTTACAAATGTTTTATTCCATAATTTTCCATGCAATAAAAAAAATTGGTTTGTTCAATTTTAATAACCACAAATATAAAAAGTATATATTTTCAGCCATCCACTGTATATTTTCTATATCTCTCTGTCTCATTAAAACTTTTAATTATTCTTACTACACAGAGCTGGAAAGTAGATGGAGAGATACTAGTTCACCATCAAGAGTCAATCATTTGAATTTTAATTGATTGCATTGAAGTTAATCTGTGTTATTATTTTGCAGCTGAAAAAGAAAACTGGCGAGTTAAACAAAGCTTGTGAAAAACATTATCAGCTGGAACAGGAATTAGCTTTCTATAAAATCGACTCAAAGTTTGACAGTCTTGGCAAAAGTCCCTCCAGTTATCAAACAGTATGTGAATTCTAAAGTTTGCTATTTAGTCAAATAAAACTAGAATTACATCTTTTTTAAAAATCTTAATTATTAATTTTTATTTCAGTGGCAAGTAAATCATATGCAACAATTTAAACTTTCAACCAGTCAGAACCATTGCGTTATCATTTGTTCTTCGTATTTTTAGTCACTTGCATTATTTATTTCGTTTCCTATAGTTATTTGTCAAATATTGATAAAGATTGTTTCAGCTCTTACAATGATTCTGTAGAAATGTTAGCTATATAACTTCTAAACCATTGTCAGAAACCCCCCGTCGGGCTTGCTTCTCTTATTTCCTCTAGGTAAGAGAAGCAAGACCATCCATAGGTATCTGACAATGCTGCTGAGCATGCGTGAATCCTTATAACTTGGACTATTTTTAGGATGGGGATGACAGCGGAGGCCTAGGTGAGAGTCCATACATAGGAAGGGCGCGATACAAAGCTAATCAGTACGCGAGGGAGTCCGATCTCTCGGGGTCCCCCCAACAACACACCAGTGTCCACAGTCTGCCCAGCCCACAGCGAGCCGAGGTCATGGAGAGGTTACACAATCAGCTGGACAGTGAGCTCGCTCAGAAGCAAGAGCGAGTCCAGAAAAGTGAGTACTACTGAGATATAATACTACTTCATGTATCTCATGGATCATTATTTTACTCGTCAGGTATGGGAAATTTCTATGTGAATTTTTTTCCCCTAAGTGTTCTGTTGTTTGAGAAGTAAATGGGCAGCAAGGAAACTGGGTTATGTTCATTGTGAAGTCTTGAAACCAATCCCTTGTATGTATAAATGATACAATTTTAAAATAGTTTAAATCAAGCTAATAAACCTCCATTCCTTAAATTTTCTGGGGTTTTTTTTGTTTTGGTTAATATGTATGAAAAAAGCTGTGCCCTCAAAGAATTTTATTTGTGAAGTATAGTTTGAGATAAAGTGGGGGAAGGGGGGGGGGGGGCTTGAAGGGTGTATGTAGAAAATTATGAGTTTGTTAATTTCTTCCTGACCTATCTGAATTTATATTATTGATCATGATCATTTTAGGGTTTCATTTGTAATTCTTAAACACAAAACATAGAAATTTTTGTACTTGATCGAGATGACACATTCATACATCATATTGCATGATTCCATCTGTTTGCCCTGCAACATATGTATATATTCTTGCTTAAATCCAAAAACACAACATTCTTATTATATTTGAGAAAAGACTCTTTGCTTTCAATGTAGAGTGATGATACTTTTGCTTATAAGTTTGTATAAATTTTAAACTAGCATTGCCTACAGTTATAGAAGATGGTAAGCAAACCGAATAGATTGACTTAAAATATTGCAATTAGATATGCATATTTGTAAAATGTCAAATTGCATGTGAGTTTTATCTGTAGTAAATCATTAAGAAATTAGATATACCTTTATAGAAGAATTGCCATTTATGTTGTTTAGATTGACCTATTAAAGTGTAGAAAATTTGAAGCTGTAGATTTCGTCACCCTTAGTTCTGTTACCGCAAGGATCATGAGGATATGATAAGGATATCATCAGGGATAGAGAAAGATTTGAAGTGTAATTAATTTACTTTAAGTCAGCTACCCTATATTATATTGCAGTCTTAGATGACATTATGCAAATGGTTATGTCAGATGAAGTTTGTAAGTTCTAAGATAGAAACATGGACAAGGTGTAGATTTAACATGGCTGGGTCAAGGGTTAATTGTAGGGTTTGGATATATCTAGTCACATATTTATTTAACATTGATATTAGGTATTGCAGAAAAAAGTCTTTCTCCTTTAGCTTTAATGGTATACATGTATATAGATTTAGAGGTTTACTTTGTAGCATAACATTTGTATCATATGTCAAAATCTTTTAGATGGTCAACTTTTAAATCATCAACATCTTTAGATGTTCAGTATTTATATCGTCATTGTCTCTAGATGTTTAGGGTTGTACTCCTTTTGTTAAACTTGGATGATATTGTTGTTATTTTCCCTTCATTTCTCTATATTTTGTATGTTGTACCTCAATCATTGATGCTGTAGATTCCTTATTTTTCGTGAGTACTTTTTATCGCGAATATGGGCTGTTCAATGTCAAATTGCGAGAATTATAATTCGCAAATAGACAGTTGATCAAGAGATTTTACATAGATTTCATCACTATAAAAATAAAGGCGAGTAATTTTATTTCACGTATGGTGCTTCATGCGAAATTATGCCATAATTAATTCCACACGTACATTTAGGAATCTACAGTATACACATGCATAAACCAGATTTTGTTGATTTAATTTTCACCAATGACCATTCTTTGTTTGTGAATTTATTAAATAGCTAATAGCCGAGTTAAAGAAAGTAAGTATATACCTCACCTGAATGCATTGATAAAAAACCAAAGTTTAAAGTCCAGAGTTGGAGAAGAGATGAAAATCAATTTTTACAAAGTTCCCATTTTTTAGCAATCTTAGTGAGAGCATCTTGTTGTGACCACTTTCATAAATTAGAGTATCCATTTATTTATCTGCTCATTGGCCAAAAAAAATATCCCTTTATTGAATTAAAAAAAAACATCAATCAGTTAGCATACTCAGTGCTTGAATGGATAAATGAATTCTATCGAGTTGAAGCTAACATCAAAGTGCTCTCTCAAGAAACATGCTTAAGTTCTCATTTTTAAAAAAAAATAGTTGCTATACAAAAGTTATTTGAATTTGCTATTTCATTTAATTATGCCAATCTCCATTTTGCGCATTATATCTTTTCATAAACTTAACTTCACCAAGTTAATTAGTTAGCATCTGTAGTACTTTTGTATCCTATTGCTAATTTTTTCGTCCTGTTGGTGTTTCTTGTCTTGGGAATTAAGTCCTTCATTGACCAGTCATTTCCCTTTCCTTTTTCCTTGAATGTTTGTAACATATTTTCCACTTTATATAGCATTATGTATTCACTATATGTTCACAAAATTAACCATTAGCCATTGAGTTCTGTGCATAGAAATTTATGATCTAAAGTGAATTTATCAAACTATCCATTTTAGATACCTTTGACTTTCCCACTAATTTAAAAATTCATTAAATGATTTCATTTTTTGCAAAATTCATATCTTGTTGTAATTTAATTTATATTTTGGATGTCTTTTTTGTCAGAATGTGCTAGAATTTTATTTATAGATGTGAATTTCAAGTTTTTTGTTGTCGTCGTAATGGTAGAAAATGCAAGTCAGCACTTAACTACTATATTAAATTTATAAATTCTTATCACTGTTTTATAATTAAGTAACGTTACATGTACAGCATATCAATTGATGTAGTATCATTTGAACTAATCACACTTTTTGCATAAGACAACGCAAAGCACATAAAATACAGCCGCTGCGCATTATTTCAATTTAGTCTTAAATTTTTTTTTACGACATTGAAGCTTGGCTTGAAATGATTTCAAGAATGTTGCCCATTTTGATTAAGACAGCAGTTTATCATGTTTGTCATACATTAACAGCGGAGGACAGACTGAAAAGGTTACAAGATGACCTTATGGGGACGGAAAGAAAACTACTGCAGGCCACAAAAGACCTCAAACGTATGGGAGACATCCCAGATAAAGACGATATTAAGGTCCAGATACGCCAGAGAATGGCCAAGAAAATGCAGCTAGTGAGTAAACCCCACCCCCACCCACCCCTTCCCTTTATACACAATAAACCCTCCCAAATATTTTCAATCTGATATGGCTAAGTACTGTAAATTCCTTATTTTTTGCGAGTACTTATTATTGCGAATTGGCTCTTCAAAGTCAAATCGCGAGAATAATAATTCGCAAATGGACAGTTAGTCGAGAGATTTTACATAGATTTCACCATAAAAATAAAAGCGAGTAATTTTATAACGCGGGTGGTGCTTCTCCCAAAATTATGTGATAATTAATTCCATGCAGATAATTAGGAATCTACAGTATTGTAAAAAACAATGAACTACCAGCTAAGATATGAGTGGTCTGTTCTAGAAAACATTAATGGCATCTTGATAAAGAAAATGGTATTTTTAATAACAGGTAAATGAACTGAGAGACAGTGCTACACAGATAGAGGAAGAGATGGATAAAACCAAGAATTCCATGCATCAGAACAAAATGGAGGTTGCCCGACTCAAAGGACAGCTAGAGAGACTGGACACAAAGGATCCAAAATATGTAAGGGTCTTATTCTCTCATTCCTGTCCTCCTTCTGATCCTCCTCAAATTAATATGTTACTTCTAGAAACCCTCTTGTATAAAGATTTGATTAATTTTGTAAACTTTTAGCATTATAAATCTATTTTCAAGTGGAATTGATATCACAGTGCTTTGCTAAAGTGTATAAAAAGGTTATTTATCCACATTTCAAGTATTTAGGATTTAAGTGGAGAAACCGAAAGGAGAAAAAGGTGAGGTTTAGAGTGTGGTGGATTAGCTTACAATTCTACCAATTGAAAGCTTTAATTGGGTAGAAAAATCTTAAAATTATCATGATTTTCAGATCAGTGTTAAAAAATGATCAATTTTGACTGCAATAATTTAATAGTAGTTTGGAAGAAGTTAGTTAATATTTTTTTCACCCAAAAATGAGATATTTTTAATTTGTTTTAGATTAAAGAGAAAGAGGGTGTGAGGGACTAAGAGAAAGAGAGAGAGAGCTTGTGTGTTTTGGCCTTTTGGTTGTTTTTAGTTTTTCTTTATAATGATTAAGGTAGCATACAAAAAGTAAGGTATCTGTAGAGGTGAAATGGGAAAAGGTCCATTAAGATAAATGATGTAGAGGAAGTTATATGTGTTTCTGGTACAATGTGTAAACCGATAATTTTTTTGGTCATTTTGTTGAAGAGCTATATTGGGTGTTTGATTTTTTTCTTTGATATAGATTTTATTTGAATTAACAAAAATATATATCTGCATTTTTAGAGGAAGCTGTATGCTGAAATGGTAGATAAGGAACAACAGATTAGTGAGAGTAACCAGATGTATGGGCAGCTCAACCAACAACTGGAGGTCATGTTAGATACCATCGCCAGGGAAACGGAAGACATCAAAAAGCTAGAAGTCCAACTCAACGATGGTGAGATATTATTATTAAAACTCAATTTGGTAACACCATTCAATTTAAAGGATGAGTTTTGTCAAAATTGGATTGAGATTGTTGTAATGTTTTCAAAAAATAAAATTTTCATTAACGATACTGATTTTCAAAAAATATTTGAAAAAAGTGTGTAGTTTTTTGTGAAAATTCATTTTTTAGATCGTATTGAAAGTAACGAGTCTATTCGTAATGAGCTGGACGAGATAGTTGGAGGATTACAGGGATACTTATCTCACGTGAAGACAAAGGGCCAGAAAGCTCAGCGAGATTACGAGACGCTGCTCAGCGAGAAGATGCAGCTTGATGATCAGTGTCGTAAACTGGAGCAGGAGCTCAGTGTCCTGGACAGTGAAGCTAGCAAAGTGCCCACACTTGAGCAGGTTAGAGTGACTAACTAAAGGGGGCTTCATATTTTAGCGGCTTTGATGTATGCAAAAATGCACTAATTTATGAATACATATACCACTTACTCATTAATTGTAAGTAAATACAATACATGGCATAGACAAGTGTAATGCTAATTCATGGTTATACCAAACCACTAGATACCCAGTGGATGGACTAAATCATTTTATGTACAGGTACAGCATTATTAGCAGCTTTGGTGCAGGCATAAATGCACTAATTTTTTAATACATATACCACATACTTAATAAATCATAAGTAAATACAATACAATGGGATGGACATGTGTAATGCTAAATCAGGGTTATGCCAAATCACTAGATACCCAGTGGATGCACTGAATCATTCTATGTACAGGTACAGCATTATTTGAATATATTGCAAATTTACAATCTCTCTCATGTTATATTTTCAATGCTACAGAGACTGATGGAGTTGGAGGACTCGCTGGCCAAACACCAGGACATGAATCGGACGCTGGAGGACCAGATCCACAGAAATCGCTCCAAGGACGCCGAGTATCAGGACAGGATGGAGTCCACAGCTCACGAACTCCAGGAAATGAAGCGAGCCATGAAAGACGCCGAAAGGAAAGTCAATGTAAGTGACTTTGACCTAAAATTATTGAAGGGAAAGTCACTAAAAATCTAGCTAGGGAAATATTCAAAAAGTGGTGGTAATCAAAGTCCATAATATTTCTTTTGTATGCTATGAAACTTTATATAATCAAACCTTGCAAATATTGAAAGAAAAAAATGGTTGCAACTTTCAACTCATTTTGACATATCCATTGTATTTGAAATATCATGTGTTAAGATACCAAAGTTCAACTTTATACTGGCGTTTAAAATTTTTTGATTTGATTTTGCAGAATGATAGACAACAATTTGAGAGACAAATACAGACTGAGCGAGAACGAGCTGAGCGAGCAATGAAGGAAGCTCGAGAAAAACAGCATCTGGAGGACGAGATTAGGAAACTACAGGGTCAATATAACAATACTATGGTATGTCGTAGTAACTATTGGTTAGTGTGTCTGTCTGTTGTTGACATAGTAATATATCCTGATATCTTCAAAATACATGGAAAGGTTGTATATGCATGATCTCTCAATCATTTTGTGTATATTTTATGATTTAGGCTCAATTAGGTGACAGAGAGAGAAAATTAAATGATTCCATTCCTCAACCAGAATTGAAGAAGCGGTTAAAGGACCTCACACAAACCATCAAAGCTGGCAGGGTACGTGTATATTTCTTTGAATTTAGTCCTTATAAATGTGGTTTAATGTAATTGTGCCTCAGAAAACTGTTGTGTTGAGAAAGAGGCCACACTGTTTATCCCTGTATATGTGAACTGATTTGAATGTTCTTCCTATGCATTAAATAAGCATATACAGTGAAACTTGTCTAATTTCCATGTTGTGTATTCCAAAATCTTGCCTAACACGATCTAAACTTTAAGTTCCTTCCTAGTAATTTTAATTTGTTCAAAATATTATCTAATCCAGAATGTTTACTAAGTCAGGCAATTTCTTTGGAACCAGTGTAGGTCAGATTAGTCAAGTTTCACTGTACCTGCTATAGAGTGATAACAATTGGGTAATTCTGTTCTGTTTTGTAGAGCCCTATCAGTCCACAGAGTGATAGGGATGTGCTGGGAAAAACCTTCAAGGAGCTTCAGCAGTTTATCCAGGATAATGCCAACAAGAGTCTTCATGAAGTTGAACAAATGAAGAAAACCACCAACCAGGTACATGCAACTCCGAATTCATGGTTTCAGATATTTAGTATGAACATTTTTTTCTTCAAATATACAGAGCTGCCAACCCTTACGATTTTAGCGTAACGCGTACGAAATCAGCATCTAAAATACGCCTTACGATTTCTCTCTATACTCTTACGATTTCAGTTTTTCTCGTTCAAAGTTTATAATACCGGTATTTTCATAGCTGGCAGTCTATAGTTTCTACTATTATAATATATTCATAATTCTTCCAACGATTGCTTGTATTATCGTTTCCGTTTTAGAAGGCCGATCACATTCATGTGACCAATGTTTTAAAGTAAACAAAATGGAAACATGCCTCAGATTGCATGTCCATTTACAAAACATCTTCAGTGGCAGGGGACCTAGGTGGTCCCTAGACCCCGCCTTACTATTTGTCATTTCAGAATGTTGGCAGCTCTGAATATAATTATTAAAGTTTAAAATTTCATTTTTTTAATGTTTTTTTTTTTATAACATAGTATACTCTCATCATTTGTGACAAAATTATTGAAGCTTAATTAATTTACGCAAAAGAAAGATAATTTTAATATTATCATGATGTTTCCCCTTATTAGCCTCTTGAATCTGGCAATGTACATGTAAGTGACTGTAACACTTGCCGGGAATGACTTAGCTGATAAAACTTAGCTTTAATTATTACAACCTCAAATTAGAGTAGATATATACATGTATTAAACTGCATAAAAATATGTTTTAAAAATCTTTCAGTGAAGTCTTTGTAGTTGTATTTCATTTCCTTTGACAACTTTGACTTTTGTTGATAAAACATAACCCTGACGATATGAGCAATATATTTAAATTATAAAATGTTATCTTTGTAGAACTTCTGCCTGTAAACTGTCTTTTAGAAACATTGAACATTTTGTTTGAGAAATCTCAGTCTTTTCTGTTAGGTGGAAGATAGATAAATAAATACATTCAACTTGGATCTGTATAATGGGAAAATTTTCAACCATATTTTTAATATTATTTGCAAGGAATTTCCTCCAAATATGGAATTTGGGCTAATATAACAAACATGCTTTTGATGCTTCATACAGATGTAGAAATATGGGAAATTTTCCCATTATACTTAATCAATTCTATTGTATAATATCTTGAAGCTTTGTTTAGAGTCTTGCCAAACATCTTCAATTCTTTCTTCACATTTTATATATTTTTAGTGACTTACAATAATTTTTTTTTTCACAAGCTTATTAGACTGTATTAAAACTTGAAATCTTGCATTTAACATCATGTTGAGACAAAAAGTATAAAACATCTATTCAAATGTATAGTTACACAATATAATCAATATCAATCAGTGAGCACTTTTTAGCTATAGATATAAATTTTTCATTTTTTTCATAATATTAGACGTAATTTGATTATATGACATGTTGTATGTTTTAACAAGAGTTTGGCTTGTATGAAGCGTGCATGGAAAATGTTGAAATGGAAACGCATTTTTAACGGTCAACAAGACTGTTAAAATGAGAACATTTTATAAAAAGTCTTCATCATGAATTATATATTTCTCACAGGCTGATGCGGAAATTCAGACTCTGAGAGAAAATCTGAAAAAGGCAGAAAACAAGCTACAAAGACGATCAGAGAAGGACCAGAGTAGAGACGAAAAGGTAATGTATGCCCGAGTTTGAAAACAAGAAAAAAATTGGTGGGGGATCTCCTTCAGTTAGCTTGCAAGGCACTAATTTAAAAGTAAAGTCCTTATTACATGTATTTGATTTTTTTTTTTTGTAGCTGGATGCTGAGAAAAGAGCAAACAGGGAATTGCAGAATGAAATACAGAGACTAAAAGCGGCATATAAAGATCTGGAGAATAAGTCTGCTCAGGTAATTATTGATTGCTGGGAGAGGCACTAGATTTACAAGTAAATTCCTCATTACATGTAATTGATTTTTGTAGTTGGATGCTTTTCACATTTTCGAGAACCACTGGGCCAATTTTGACCAAACTTGGTACAAAGCATCCTTAGGTAAAGGGGAATTTAAATTGTTAAAATAAAGGGCCAAGTTCCCTCACAAGCGGATATAAAGATAGGGTGGGGTCATTAAAAAATCTTCTTCTCAGAACCACTGGGCCAAAAAAGCTAATTATGTGGATTGTGGGGAGTGTAACATTGTACAAATCATGACCCCTGGGGAGGGGGGCCACAATGGGGAATCAAAGTTTTACATAGAAATATATAGGAAAAATCTTAAGTCTTATGAAAAGATTCTTAGCTGTGATTTCTTAAATTAATAAATCATGACCCCTGGGGGAGACGGGGAATTAAAAATATTTTTATAGAAATAGAAAAATCTTTGAAATTTTCTTCTCAAGATGGGCCAGAAAAGCTGATGTGGAAGCATCCTGGTATAGTGTAGATTTTAAGTAACCATTCTGTCTCCAAACTTTTACAAAGAAATATATAGGAAAAATCTTTGAAAATCTTCTTCTCAAGAACCACTGGGCCAGAAAAGCTAAACTCATGTAGAATAGTGAATTTACAAGGTTCTATACCTTCAATACTTAATCAAAATTTTACATAGGGCCAGCATTTTTTTATTTTTAGGTTTACGAACATCAGAATGAAAAAGTCCCGTAGGAGGAGGAAATAAAAAAAAAATAAAATTATTTTTTTTTGGATGTTATCGACTTGTGAACATTAATTTTTCTGAGGAGAAAGCTCTGTATGGACGCATAAGAATTACAAAGGGAGCTGTTATTTCATCATCTACCAGTTGGGGCCAGTGATATATATATTTTGTTATGTTGGACAAAATACAGATATTTAAAAAAAATTATTTTGCAAAACTCTTTCAATATATCTTCATTTTTGTTTTTAGTATGTTTTGGTAAATGTAAAACACAATTACTAACAAAATAATAATTCCTTTCATAAAACAGACAGATTGGGGAAATTTTTTTAATTAAGTGTAAAATAATTTTTCTGGCTGCCACAAACGATACTACATACCTGTATATATTTGTATATATAATACTTGTTTTTAACAGTTGAAGAATTTTATTTCTTTAGTCTATTGTTTATTTCTTCCTCAAATGGACTTAACTTCTCCCATAGTTTTATTCATTAAATTTTTCTGAAGAATGATGCTTATAAGACTGTAAGCTATAACAGAAACTTAAACAATAAAAAGCTCACCATGGACAGTTTTAAACCTGTAGGAAAATAATTTACAGACAGATACTTTTGAATAAGCATAATCACCAGCATGTCATTGTGCAATAAAGTCGTGCATTTTATTTGTCCTCTGAACTTGTGAAAAATTTTGAATGGATGGCTTTTAAATATTAACATATAACAAAGCTTTAATGCTATGGACTTTGCAAATCTCATTTAAAAAAAACCGGAAAATAAAATAGACCAAATTTGACATGTTCTGTTTTTTCTGAAAATTCAAAAACTTATTTATAAAAATAAAAAAATGCTGGCCTAGAAATATATAGGAAAAATCTTTGAAAATCTTCTTCTCAAGAACCACTGGGCCAGAGAAGCTGAAACTTATGTGCACATGGAAGGATCATAGGGTAGTGTAGATTTCAAAATGTCTAAATTATGATCAGTGAGAGAGTATTACAAGGGGGAAATCTGGCAAAGAACAGAATGGCCAAAGCTTCTCAGGTGAGCGATGTGGCCCATGGGCCTCTTGTTTTTGGAAAAGCTTTCATTTAGATGTTATTACAGAAGGCAATATACAGATGTGGAATCTCAAGTCTTGTGAAAAAATGATGGGAATTTTTTTTTTTAAATAATCTTAACAAAAGTTGGTGTTCTTTAAAAATACTGATTTTGATACAGAAGGAAATCCAGACTACACTGTTTCTGAAAATAACCATTATATCTCCAAACTTTATTATTAATAATGTAGGAATGAAATTTGCAAGACTATACCTTCAATACTTGCTTAATAGGGTCGACCAATCATGAAGATCGTGTACAGACCAGAATCTGAGACAGACTCACTGAATTCTGAGGAGAAAGCTCTGTATGATGAACTCCAGAGGGAGCTGTTAGAACTACGACGTAACATGAGAGTCAAAGAGAACGAAAACGCAAAGCATGTAAGTACCTGTACAGTAAAACATAATTATAAGGAAGTGTTAAGGATTGCAATTTTGCTTCATTATATTATAGCATAATTTGTTATATCTGTGAGCTTCACTGTATGTTTAAAATCTAGAGGGAATAAAAATCACTTCAGTATAAGTATCAATTCATAATAAGCATAATCACTATAAGAGTGTTTACTGTACTGTAAAAACAATGAATGTTTTTAATTAATAAATATAAGAATGCGGTTTGTTCACATTTAAAAAATAAAGTAGACCTTTGATGTGTCTGTAATTATTTATAGCTGGCCAATGTTGAAAATGAGGCTGCCATGTTGGAACAGATGGTGAGAGAGCAGGAAGAGGAACTAGCCAAGACACGAGAGGAAAACGAACTTGAGAAGGTAAGGGAAATAACTCAGTTCTTCTGTTGAAGAAAAAAAATTTATGTCTTTTGTGGAAAGTTTTCATGCCATTCATTCAGAATTTCAAGCTTTGTTGTTGATATTTATCTTTAGATCAAAGCAGAGGTATATCGTAATCTAAAAGTATTTACTGGATATCAGTCTTTCTTTGTTTTTGCACATTATAAGTTAAGGTGCCTTTATACTCTATATTTTGGGTTGGTGATCTGTAATTTATTTAAAGATTTCAAGGGATTATTCTTTTTCTTTATGAAAGGCACATTGAGGTGGTGGTATCCTCCATGCAAAGTTTCTTCAGAATGACATGGATGCAAATACATGACTTGTACATGTATTATTGCATGGACCTCAAGATGTTTTTACACACACATCTTTGCTTTTCTATCTCTTTTAAAACTGTGTGTGTGATGAACTCAATTTATTTGACAAAAATTCTAATTGATTTAAAATAAAAATTACAAATTAAATTGATTCTCTGATTAGAAGCATTTGTAATTTTCTTGTGGTAGGAAAAGTATGAGGCTCGAATGCAGGTCATTGCTCAGGATCTGGAGCAGGCACAGGTGACGGCAGACCAGCTGAAGCACATGTTGGACGAACGTGATGCCATCCTTCACGGAGAAATGCAGAACAAGAACATGAACAACCAGATGATCAGTAAGTCTTATCAACCTGTAATAACAGTGCTAGAGTAAAATTTTCTGAACAAGTGTAAACAGGTCATTAAATTTAATTTTTTTTCAATGTAGAAGTGCTATATCAATATTCTCTTCCTTTTTTTTATAAACAGCTGATTTAAATTCAAAAGCAGGTAAAGATGATGTTAAACTAACACTTGATTTCACCACTCCAGAAAAAAAATGGAAAAATAATGGGAGCACCTATTGTCATTCACAGTCCCAAAATTCCCCTGTCACCTCGGATTCAATATTTCTGATTACAGTAAAACCTGCTTATAGTGAACACGCTTATAATGAATTTTATAATGAATTGATGCTTACAGAGAAGTGATTTTCATTCCCTTCAAATTTAAGATTTATTGTAAACTTAACAGATAAAACAAATTATGCTTATAATGAAGCAAAATTGTTCGTCCCTGGCACTTCGCTATAAGCAGCTTTTACTGTTTAACTAATGGTGTTTGTGTGTCCTGAAATTGAAAGTAAACTGCATGGAAGTGATCCCAGTCTCTGCACAGTGTTTAATTGTGGTGTTTTATGGATTCAGTTTAAAAAAAAAACCATGACCAGCAAGCATGCTCATGGAGTGACCCAAATTTGGGTACATGTATTCTTTTGGTCTCTTAGTTTTGTGATTCCAGAGTACTGCATGTCTTTCAAAACCGATAACAGTTTATAAAAATTGAAATATTTGTATGTCCATTAATAAAATAAGATTAGATTGTTAATCTTTTTCAGTACTGATAGGTTTTATTAAATTCTTTCATGTAATCACTGTAATATTTCATGTCAGGTGCCCAGGAAGCAGAGTTGACCAAGCTGTACGACATTTTGGAGACTCAGCGACAGGAAATGGAGCATCTGAACCACCTACTGGACACAATGGCTGCCGGAGGAAGTGCTGCTGGTAAGAAATATAGACCTTAACAAATACTGTAGGATCTGTTACTTTCATGGGGTTAAATTTTTGAGGACAGGGAAAAAAAATTGGTTCAAGGGGATTTGATTTCATGGTTGAAACTTCATGCTGTAATAAAGAAGTACAAGTTTCAAAAAATGACAAAATTGTTAATTCTGAAATTATAAAACTCAAAGCTTAATAAGTGCACTTTCAGTCTATTATTAATGAAATTCGATACAGTAGAGCTACAATTTCATCAGTGAACTCTGCTTCTTCCCAAGGATAATAATTGTTATGCATTTCCACATTTTTAGCTATTGCAAAAAGTAATAAAATGTTCCTTTTGCAGCTGGTCCTGCTTTTGATGATGAGTTGTGGAAATTAAGACAGGAGGTCAACCGCTTAAAAGAGACTCTAGCCATGCAGTCTGCATACATTCAATCCATGCCTAATCCCCAGGGTACAGTTGGCACTCAAGCTAGCACTGGGGTGGGCCCAACTCAGGTAAGTCACAATTATGGTTCCTTTTACTTTTTTCATCAGAATTTAAGAACATAAGTTGCATTGTAAAACATGCCTAAAATCAAAGCATTCTTTTATTGGAATTTAAAAGTTTAAAGATAGAGAGGAAAAAAAGCTTATTTCTATTTATTAATTTTTCCCCTTTTTTGTCCCTCAGGGAATGCCATATCATGGTCAAGCTTCTGGACCCTCACCTTACAGACCAGTATTAACACAGCAGCTCGGGGCTCCCATTGGGGTCATGCCTGGGGCACCAATGGGATCTGTGCTTGGAGCAAGAGGAACAATGGTACGAAAATTATTTTGTACATCTACATGTACTTAACATCCTCTGACTTTCTAACAAATTCTTAAAATACAAAATTGGCAGGTTAATCATTTAATTTTATGTTACCTTCTTTTTTCAGGGCCCTCAGTATACAGCTCAGGGTGGTGTTCCGTTTAGTAGCTATCAGCCAGGGATAGGGGCAGAGAGAGGGGAAGCAAGAGAACCATCCGGAGGAAGACCTGCAGGAAGGTCAAGGTCAAGTGAAGGTAGACTAACACAAGGACAGAGACATTCCAGCAGAGGTAAGAACTTTTTCAGCTTTCTTTAAAAAATTTTACAACCAAATGGGACATTTGTATTAGATTTGCGATAAAATATTTCTTGAAACCAAAATTCAAGATGAATAAAGCTGATTTTTTTTAATTGATAGGTGGAGGTCGTGATTCAGACAGGGAAAGTGTCAGAAGTCACAGGAGTGGAAGATCTGGACCTAGCCGGACAGGACGAGAAAGAACCAGGTCTTCCCGCTCTAAAACAGCATTCGAGCCAGTGCATAAGCCACAAGCTTACAAGCCAGTCCAGACTACAGGAGTCTATCCATCAGGTGTGGTTAACGCTAGTCAGGGTCCCCAACCACAGCCCTCTCACAACATTCCAGGATATCAGCCAGCCACAGGGTCTTTCCATGGTAGTCTCTTCCCACAGGGTGTTGCTCAAACTAGAGGGGCTGGTCAGACCCCAGGAATTGCAGGCACACAAACACCAGGCTATGGCAGTACCCAGACCCCTGGATATGGTGCCACACAGGCCTATGGATATGGTACAAACCCAGGTGTGGCTGCTGGTGCCACTCAGACCCCAGGCACCCAGGGTACACAGACTGCTTACCCTGTTGGACAGATAAATTACGTACCTGTGGCAGCCAATCCTATTCAGTCCACAGGATCTGGTAGGATGTTCCTTCCTGCTTACTCCACATCTCCTGAACGACCTGCGGGTAGGATCTACTACCCTCCTGGTGGTGCCCCACCACCCCCACCCCCACCTTCTTCAGGAGCCACCCAGTATGGTCCCTCATCTCCCGGTCCCCGGGTCACATTTCTGCCTTTAGCTCCAGTGGCCGCTGGAACACCGGTGAAGGGCCGCGCACCAGATGGTTCCATGACTGTCCCACCTAGCCCCATAGGTAAGCGTTCTGCAATTTGGATAATATAGATCATTATACATTAGCTTCAGAACATTGCACATTTAATGAGATACCAATAGGGAGAAAGCAGAATGAGCAAATATTGATGAATTGATGTTCTGAACTTTCTTAATATAATGCCCTTTAAACAAAGTTTTTCTTTCTGTCTGTCTTTCCATTGACATGTTTTGCTGGGAATTATCTCTAAAATGTACAATTAAATATTGTGTTTTTAAAATGTGTATCTCGAAATACTTTGCCTCATCAATAGAATTATAGCAGATTGTATTCTAGTTTAGGATCATATTTATTTGAGAATCATAATGTTACCGGTATTTTGATCATGCATAAATTATATTGAACTACTTGTTAAATTTTGCATGAATGCTTTTCAAGTTGATGCAGGAATTGGGAATTGATTAAATACTTGCATATTAATCCATGAAGGTTATTTAACATTTTATGTTGTCAACAATCAATAAATTAAATACCTATTGAACTAGCAGTTGTTTAAATGAGTAAAGTTTGATGCATGTGCAGCTATAACATTTAGATATAAAATTGAATGCAAAAGTCAGAAGTGTAGATTTTAAACCAAAACAATTTTATCTGTCTAATTATCAGGGATAATTAGCATGAATGCAGGTAATTCTAGTAATTAAAAAACCCAGGCTGCCCTTTTGTTGACACATGAGCTTAGGTTGAATACACCCTGAGTAAAGTCATGCCCACTCATGTCATTGAGAAATTCACTCATCCAGATCATCTGTATGGTATTGGTCTGTTCTATTGAGAATTTATAGGAGATAATAAACAGTCTCTTGTGTAATAATTCCGAATTAATCCAAAAGTTATGTAGGGGTATTAGGAATGGTATTTTACACATGGTTCTTGATGAATGTGACATTGTGCTGTATGATGCTTTTGGAATTAAATGAGTAATTAAAGAATTAGTTGACATCTGCTCTGCATGGTAGGTCTTTTGTGTTGACATTATGATTTAAAGATATGTGTTTGATGCACTGTTGTTAGGAACTCAATAGATGTAAAAATGTGCTGTCTTGGGAGGTCTATTTTACTAGTATTTGCAGTACCTTTCCATATATATTTGAAATGTGCTATCAGGTGGGCTTACCATACCCTTCCAAATGAGTATTTCAAGTGTCATTTTAAATATACAATGAGGTAATGCATTTGCCCTCCATAAGGTTTCCCCCTGACATATTTCTAACATTATAGATATTTTATGTACTTTTCTTTATTAAAATTTTTTTTTTTTTTTTTTTTTTTTGCAGTGGCAGGGTCAGTTAGCATGGATGGGGGCCAGCCACGGGGAATCCTGAAAAACGCGGATGGAGGTGGAGACGATACATACCTGTTCTGTAACGTCCCAGAACACCATGACCTGGTAAATAAAGAAATCTGCACTAATTGTAATTCAAGATTTACTGAAGGGAAAGACTACAGACAAACTTTAAAAAAAAAAATAATTTGCAATTTTTTTTCCCCATGTGCTATGTCTACCACACTGGGATAGATTGTTTCTTCCATTAATTATCATGTAATATCTTTTAATTAAGCTTTTTCGAAATATCTTTTTTGTGTTAAATAATTTGTTAAATACACCTTTAGATCTTCTGGGGGGAAAAATTCAACACCAACAGTTGAATAAAATCAATGTTGATAAGGGGGAGCTTTACAGGAATTCATTAAACTGATATTATCTTGTTTATAGATCACAGTTCGTAGCTCCTCTGTCAACTGACATTATGCCCTATCTGTCTCATGTAAATAGAGCTTAACCTCCAATAACATTCTATCAAACATACCTGCATTGAATTTGAAATTTTTGTTTGGTGTGAACAAACACATGCTCGTATATTGATATGATATTACATTTTTTTGTCACTTTAATCAATGTTATTTCATATTTTTACCCCAGATAAGAGTATTTTTCTAGGTATTGATTTACCAGATCATCAAACATTTAATATTCTCCTACCACGTTTTAGGAATTTCAAGTAAACTGTTTTCAGGTCTTTCAAATTGTTTTGGGACTCATGCATTTAAACCATGCAAAGTTGTATTATTTACGATGTTTGTGGAAATTTGACATATCTCGAATCAGCATATGTAAGAGTTTTATAAATTAAAGCTCAGTAAAATTCAGTTATTCGACATTGTTGAGTCTGCAAGCCTTTTTGATAGGTGTTTTTCATTTAAGAAGATTTCTTGCTAAATCTAAATCCTAATGAAAGCACAAGATTGTTGAGAAAAGGCATAAAGTTATCCAAGGAGTCTCATATTTAAATGCCCCTTTAAGTAATGTGCTTATGAATAAAATCTTGAAATTTGTCCCCTTTTACATAAAAAGGGGGGATTATATGTTCTTGAAAAAAGGCATACACAACTAGAAATAGGTGATTTAAAAAAAAAAGAGGTTTTGTTTGACAAAATTTTTAAAGATTTAATTTTGACAGATATAAATATTTTAACTATAAAAAAAGAAAAAAATCTAAGCATAAATAGTATTTTGAACAACTTAAATTTACTTTTACTTTTTTTTAATGAAAATTTGTAAAACACAATACATGTAGTTCTCTAAGTTCTGCTAATTAATTCCTGTTAATACAAATAATAATTTAACAGAAATCAAACACGATGTCTTTTAAATGCTCAATATTATTGAGAGAATGATTTATTTTCCTTGCTTTCTTTTTATGTTGACATTATCATGGAATGTCTTTTTTAGGAGGATTATATAGCAGAACTTCAGGAAAAACTCAAAAGACTCAAAGCAAAAGCTGCCCGGGAGGAAGTAAGTTTTTAAAAATTTTTTTTTGCTTTTGAGGAATCATCCTTCTGTACATGATACCCAGTGACAAGAGTAATTTTGAGAAATAAGAAATTTTTTACCTCTAGTATTGAAACGTAATAGTTATCAAATGTAACATCATCAGATATAAAACTCTATTAATAGGGTGGATGGTGTTTTTTATAATATAATTATGTGTGTTTTTAAAAGCAGCATTTTTTATGTTATGTTTAAATTTATTTAGATTTGATTTAATATTGTGATTCTTTTCAAAGGAATTACAAAGACAGGCAGAAGAGGATGATGAGAACAGATTGATACGCAGACTACGAGGGGAGTTGGAGGTACATCCTACATTATCTGGCTAAGTTTTGTAACTGTGATAATCTTCCACTCTTATAATTACTGTAAAATGATGATAATTTCATGGGAACTCCCAACATCATCACGCTTGTGGGTGTGGGTGAAGGATCAATGCATGCATAAAAATATTTATAAGAAAGTAATAATTTTTATCAGGATTGATAAGCTCTTTTGGGAGGGGGTGCCCTGCTTTGATATTTTAACGATTTGTTAATTTTTGGGGTCAGACTAAGATTCTGTATTAGGTCAGGGTTAAACATGAGAATAAAACATCAAGCACTAGTTTGCCAACATGAAAGTTATTTTGCTCCATCAGTTGATTTGTGTATTATAATACATGTATACATTAGTTAAGATATAGCTTTACCTCCATCAGAATAAGAAATTATTTATTAACAGCAAAGAAGAGATGAGCTTGAAGGATTGGATTTAGCCATTGACAAACAGAAGAAATGTTTGAAAGATTTAAAGAGAGAGGAGAAATTCCTGGAACATGAAAGAATAGCAGCAAGGGATGAACTGCAATTTATGAGACATCACAATGCAAAGGAGAATAGGAAAAGGTAAAGAAACTTAGATGTTAAAGAATACGTGTATCAACATTTGAAAATTTCATGTAATTAGTGCCATTTGTGAAAAAAGTGGATACTAATGTAAGTTAAACTTTCGCTTTCAAAAGGCAATTACGAGCCAATGTGTTTGATGAATCTTTCACGGAGGAAGAACATATTGGCATGGCTGGAAGTCGAAGGAAGTTCTTAAGAAATGAAATAGACGCACTAGAGCGAACCTTGGCCAAGCGGCGGAGTCAGTTACAAGACGCAGACAAACTCCTACGTGTTTGTAACTCCGATCTGGAGGATGCTAAAGAAGAGGTGATCTTATTTATCAAATATTGGATTCTTTAATAGTTCCCTTAACCAAAAAAGTACTATGGTAGTGACATATGCCCAGATTCTATTGTTTTCATCATAGGGATACGTAATGAAAAGATTAGAAATATGACCAGGAGAACTGGTGGGACTTTCCAGTTTATAGTTATCTTGCATTGTTTGCTCAAACATGCCAAGAAAAATAAAACAAATTATCTTAAAATAGGTCCATACGTTCAGTAGAATTCATATGTATATTTGTAATGGTCTATTAACCCAGCTTTAAAATAACTAATTTAGGAAGCTATGAGAATAAATAAAACAAGTACAGAAACAATTTTGTTGCATTGAATAACATACTGTGTTTGTTTTGCAGGCAAGACAGACTGTACAAAAGTTTGATTTGGCAACAGAGAGTTTACAGAATACAGTGAAGGAGACAGGGGAACTGGAGAAGCGAGCCAATCAGGCCGGGGTAGAGCTCATCAAGGCCTCGGACACGCTCAGTGCAATAAGGGCAGAGGTCAAGGATGCCGAGCGAAAACGAGCAAAACAAGAGAGACTGTTAAGAGACATCAACCAGGTACTTGATAAGGATAAAGAGTTGCAGCATGGAATTACAAAGTTTTCAGATTATTTAGAATAGAATTGATTTAGAAAATGAAATCAGCTTATGTTGGCTGTATGCAATAAAAGTTAGACTGAAGGAAATGTAATTTGTTAACATATATGCCATTAAATCTTTTCACAGGTCACTGCCAAAAAAGATGCAGAGTACAAAGACCTAGAAAGTCGAATAAGGAGTGCTACTCAAAAGTATGTCAAATGCCATACATGTCTGTGCCATATTATCTTTTGATTGACAACCTTGATCAGTATTGTTTCCTTACAGTGTACCCATTATGTTTATCAACACTTCATATATTTTCAGCTTACACAAACTTCATGCTGAGCTCGCTGCAGCATCTGCCAGAGAGAAAGAAACCGTGTCAGCATTAAATGACGCAGAGGAAGTTCTGACCAAACGTCGAGCTGATATTGCAAGAATGCGCGACCAGGTAATCTAATAAAAAAAAAATTCCTACCTACTGTGTTCTGTGCTTGTCTAGGTGAGAATAATTTTCTGTTTCTAAGTCCTTTTTAATCCCAAACAAATATAAATGGAGGAATAAAATAAATTAACACACTGACAGAAAAATTCTGTTGCCTTATATTTTTCAGTTACACCCTAGGGCGTTAAAACGGCGATCAAAACCGAGCCATGTCAAACTATAACTCACCACCAGCAAGGCCCAATAACTTGTGTATCATAGGGTTTGATTGGATGTTCTTTCAATTTGCATTCAAAAATACATTGCCATTGTGTGTTGATGTGCTATAATGATTTTACCACCATATATAACATGTAAATATGGATTCTCTGTAGAAAAGTCAGAACTTGGCGCTCTTTGCTATTTTGCTATTTGCTGCATTTCCTTGCCTTATCTCCCTTGCACACCTTGCACCTGCCCTTTGTATTAACTCCCTTGCATGTATCTTACAATTAAGGTTATATATAGATATTTATGCATTTGTTGATAAAATTCTTCCCCTCCTGTACATATATAGGGGTTTCCTATCATAAAATGTAGATTTGCTAATGTGAAAAGACATATACAGTTAATCTAATGATAAATACAGAGCCTATTCATTTTAAATAATCATAACCCTTTCCACCATATATTTGTATATAGAAGCTATGCTTTTTATGGAAATCTGCTAGAAGATGCCAGAAAAAGTAACCAATACTGATGTTTCGCTTGCAATACTTTATGCAGGGAACAACCCTGTGAGTGAAATTGAGGTGTATTTGCATATTCCCACATGTATTGTACACTAATGTGCAGCACAGACATGCATCATCACAGTACACATCTGTCATTTGTGGTTTGGGGACTCTCATCTATCATGGCTTTGTTTGGAGTTTATGGAATTTCTTTTGGTGCTGTGGGTTGACATTGTTTCCCTTTTTGGTCTTCCACATTCACACACAGCGTTATCAGCCATTATAAACTTTTATTTTTATAACAGGGAATTTTTTCTTTTTTTGGAAATCCATGTTTACATATTATGATGTTAAAATTTCGTTGTAGCACTTTATTTAATTTAAAGCTATTATAGGGCCTGGTGGTGAGTTTTGTAGGGGTAGAGGTTTTAGTCACTGATCCAGCAATAAGTTACATTTTGATATTAAATATTCAAAGAATTCCTGCATTTTATCGACAAGAAAAAGCATTTAAGTCAATACTGCATTTCTTTTATTTTAAGAAGTATTATAGACAATATCTTTGGAATGAGATTAAACTACTTAGTTTCACACTAAATCTCTGGAATCAGTATTTATGTATTTTTATATACATGTATACAGTGTGATAACTATTCTGTTAAGTATGTTCATATTCTGTATAAGGTAGTGGAAGTGTGATTTTTTTTAAATCTCAAATTAGAATCGGTTCATTTCATGTTTTGAGCAATATCATATATATGTATTTTGTAAATCGGAGATATTTTGAATAAAGTTAAGAAACAACAATTGCCCTTTGTTATTTACCTCAATGGACAATGCCAATTCTTCATCCTTAACTTAATGTAGATGAAAAATATTAAACAGTGTGAAAAAAACAAAAAAACTTGAGAGCTCCACTAGCATATATTATAACAGTTCTTTGGATGTTCTATTTTTGCTTTAAACGCCCACATGCATGTAATCGTTTGTCCATAAGACTCAATGATTATCAAAATATGTAGTAAGGTTATGAGACATGAATAAATTGTGGGGAAAAGTGTGAAATCAAGTAAGAGAAGTGGGAAAAATGAATCAAAATTTCCCAAATGTTTTTGCACAAATTCATAGAGATAGTAGCAATCATCCATACCATGGTAAGTGTTGCACATTTCCCTTGTCAATTGTAAGTAATGCAGAATAATAACAATAAAAAAACATTTGATGATTTTGATTTTCTCACAGATTGACCAACAGAAGCAGGAGTTAGAAAAACTGGACCAGAAGATGGGAAAAAAGAGAACAGAATTCAAGATACTCCAAGAATCACTGGAGAAAAAATCCACAGAGCTTACGTCAATGCTAAGGGACGCTGAGGCCGAATGTGTGTCCAGGCAAAGGGAGGCTAGGGTAATGTTCAGGGGAGATAAAAAAAAGAGAAAATCTCAGGGGAGAGAAGAAAGAGGGAGAATCAGTTATTGTAGATTGTCGTAAATGTCAAAGTGTGAGAATATTGAATTGTGAATGGGTGGCTGATGAAAAGATTTTACATGGATTTCAGCATCATAAAAAATGTGAGAATGATTTAATTTTGCAAGTCATGCTTCCCAAAAAATTACACAATAATTAAATTTTCATGTTTATTTAACAATTTACTGTATATTTTTACTAGGAATATATAGCTGTATCAGTGCAATGGCTATCTCTTTTATATTTTATTTAAAAGCTTTCCTTAGATTTGATTTACTTGATTTGGATGTGCAGGAATCTGAATTAGAAAGTGATTATTTTTGTAGGATCTCAAAGACAAAGTGAATGAACTGGAGATGCAGAAAAATGAACTGTTACAAACTCTGAAAATCAAACGAGGTGAACTCCATAAACGCAAGGAGGAAGTGGAGACCGAGGATGAAGTGCTACAAAAACTGATCAATTCTGTGAACAAAAACAAGTCTGAACTGCAGCATGTGTTTGAAATGCAAAAGATTGAAAAACATGAATTGGACAGTTTAAAATCGCAGCATGCACAGAAATTGGCAGAACTAGAGAAAACTCAGAGAGAATTGCTGGCAGTAAGTACTGAGAGAGTAGGAAACATCCAAAATTGCTTTGTACAAACAGTTAAAATGATTTGAAATACAGTTGAACTTTGATATCTTAAAGATGGATATCTTGTCAATAACTACCTTGGATATTTTCAAGTGATTTTGAAATCTCAAAACCTTTTTTTCTAGCTATTTTAACCAAATTAACTCAAATTCTTCAATATTTGAAAGTAGGTTGTCATTCCCATCAAGCTTGGAGAGGTTTGACTGCAACCTTTATCAACTCATTCAAATTTTCATGATCAACTCATTCTTTTTCATCAGGAGAGATCGCAGTTAGACCAATTGTGCGCTGAGACAAGTCGGAAATCTGCCGAGGTCGACCGATTACGACAGGCACTGGACCGTGACAGACAGGAAGTGGAGAGACTGGCCCTAGAGAAGCAGTCGCTGGAAGACCGCCTTACTGCCATGTCACGAGAGAAAGACATGATGGATGAGAGCACCAAGAATATGGACAACAAAATCAACCAAATGAGGAGGTCAGAATGGAGATTTTACTTCCAAAATCTTATAAATCTAGTGTATGGTAAAACATGCATATAATGAAGTACCAGAGACATAAAATTTTGCTTTGTCAGAAATGTAATTAAATTTAAGCAATATTTTATTATGTATAAGCATAACAGGATTGGACAACAGGCACTGCAGTGCTCCAAGTCACTCTTGCTCTCAGGTCGCAAAATGGCGACCCAAAAATTTTTTTGGTCGCCATTTCAGAATTTCTGGTCGCCATAATCAAATATTTCACTCGCCATAAAAAAAAAATACATTTTGTGAATAAAACTTGATAATTTAAATAAGGATATGTATTATGTCTTTATTATATCATAGATTACTTATTACTGTGACTTTAAAAATTTGCTAGGTTGAATGAAATATTTTTATTGAATACATGTACCCTTATGGTTGTACAGAAGAACACAAGTAATCTAATTACAGAAATAAAATTTTATCAAATGAAAATACAAGCTTGACAGCTGTTGAGACATGACTTTGCCTGCTGTTTGTCATGTTTACTTATTACTACGTACCTTACCCATTACACAGTCATTATAAATGCCGCCAAAACACTTTACTAGCATGATAATACAATCATGATTCATTGTGATATGCAAGCAATTGATCAAATGCTTCAATAACAAGGTCGGATCTTAAAAAGTGTACGAAGTTTGGATGCCATTCTATCAGGAACATTACACGTCTCTGGTTCAGGTTCTATCAAACTTTGTACAGCATGCATGCTGTCATAACATTACGTGATCTAAGTCCATGCAATGCTTTGTAAAGTGTATTTAAGTATATGTCTTCAAACATTTTCTTGATAGAGAATCTTTACAAATGAAATCTTGATCCCGATCTTAAAAATTGGACGTTTCCAGCCCAAATTTTCTCAGTCGCGAAAATGCGAGTGTGTTTTCATTTCTAGTCGCAAAATCAATTTTTTGGTCGCAAATGCGACCATTTTAGTCTCAACTTGGAGCACTGCTGACTGCCTATATAACTCCTCTCCATAATGTAATTTATTACATTACTTCACTGGACGTGATAATTCATTATTAGCGCATTCACTATAAACATGTTTTACTGTATGTGGATGAAGATTGAGATAGAGCTTAACATCAAGAAAATGAAAATGTATGCTATAATTTTTCATTTAAATGCAATTTTAGTTGGAAATCTTTTAATAGCAATCTTGATGTTCCTTTTTCAGAACACAGAGGTCTGTAGAAGAAAAGTTAGACTCCTCCACCAAGAGATTTGAGAGTGTGGAGCTGGAGCTCAGACACAGGGAGAAAGAACTGGAGGAGGCCAACCATCAGAGAGCTCAGCTACAGAAGGAGGTCCACGCCCTCAAAACTACAGTCAAAGGTCAGAATACCACTTTGTTTTTTATTTAGACACTTTCTTTTTATTTTTTAGAGTTGGTTATACTCCTGCCATGTTGGAAGGGGGGGGGGATATGTGTCTATCTGTCTGTGTGTTTAGCTATCTGTAACAACTTAATGTAGTTTTCTCAGCAACTTCTATTGTTGGATGCTTGAAATTTTAGCACACTCTTTGTTTAGGCTTGCCATTTGGTTGGATTCATTTTTGTACAAATCCAACGTCAACTTCCTGTTTTTCCTTGCGCCTTTCCATGTACCATATATAATTAACATCAGAGTAATGGTATTGCTATTGAGCATTAGCTCACAGACATCTAGTTTAATGTTTGTTTGATCATGTATTTGTGGTTCCTTTCCAGACTGCAAGAGTGAACTAAAGACATTGAAAGATCACATCAGAGATTCAGAAGATCAGCGAAAAAGTTTGGACCAAGATTTAAAAGACATTTATCTTAAGAGAGATGAAGCCAAGTTAGAGTACGAGCGCTTAAATGAAGGAATTCGTCAAAGCAGGGTAGCACATGATGATTACATGCGACAGGAAAAGGTCAAACAGTCCGAGTTACAGGAACTCTTGAAAAATGTGAATGATAAATCTATAGAATACCAAGAAGCAAAAATGGTGAGTAGAATAGAATTATGCCTATACTTAAGAATACAAGAGTAATTAAAAAAAAATGTATGCAATCTACTCAATACTTTCAAGTTCTGTTATTTAAATGTCAAAATCATCATAAGATACATGGATTATCAATATGAGATAATGCTGTTAAGTAATCTAGAGTGCACATATCCATTGTTATTACTTGACCATTACTGTTTATGTTTTTAAAAAAATGTTTGACGATTTAAAACATTTAAAACAGGCACTTAATAAAGTAAGAAAGGAAGTCGAGCGGGAAGAAAGCAAACTTAACAAGGTAAGACAAGACAGATTTATTCCCCTTTAATATTCCCTGTACCTATGTATACTGGATTTAGTGTGTGAATGATATAGATCCGCCATATGTTTTCCCAGCTTAGTATATTTTGAAAACTCAATTCAGAAAGCTTTAATTTTGCTAGATACATGTAGTTGTATTGACAGTAATTGGCAATCAATTTAATTTACCACCTAAGATTGTTGTATGTAAAATAAACATTTTCCCATTAACCCTCATTTTTTCCGTGCTTTGATTGGTAGATTCCCAGCTTTATTAATTTCCTAAGACCTTGCGTTAAGAAACACTGCATATGAATTAATGCTTCATTATTTAACCCTTTCAGTTGGTCAGTAATGCTAATTTAGAATTAGAGAACATTCGCTCAGATCTGAAATCCAAGCAGTTAGAGTTGGAACAAGCCACTTACTCCGTCCATAACCTAAAGGTTTGTATGAGGGTCTCAAAAAAGTGTGTTAATGCCTGCATGAAGAACCTATTATTCACACCTGGAGAAAATAGTCAAATACAGCACATAATGTTTAACAACAGAATTGAGAAAAATATTTGATGAATGAGTAACTCTGTTTTTTCTTTGACTCATATATCATAATTTAACAAAACTTCTTAATATTATCATTGACAAAAAGACCATACAAAATGCAGTTTAAAATAGGCTGACATAGAGTGTCATAAAGGCATCTTTAAATTTATGTTACAGAAAGAGTCAGAGAAATTGCATGCCAGTGAAGAAAAGTTTATGGATTTAGACAAACAAATCAAAAGTTTGGGTAAGTTCAGCAATGGAATGCCATGTTTAGATCATGTATGAATGATCATGCATAATGCAGACAAATTTTTTCTTGCATTTCATGTAAATAATTTTTTTTTTTTTTGGTTACAGAGAAAGAAATATTGGACAGAAATGAGGAGAAGAATGAGTTGGCCAAAGCATTATCTAGGTCATACGAAGAACTGCAGAAAGCCCGCACTGCCTCTGCACAGGTAAAACTCACTTTCACTGTCTTGTGAATTGAAGTGTTTGACATAGTTGTCAACCCTTAGATAAAAAAGTTATTTTCTAGCATTTTTCAAAAATTTTCTGAAGTGTTTTCATTTGTATTTCTTCTGTATTCTTTTACAAAGTTACTTAACTTGTGTGTATTAATTACTTAGTGATTTACCAAAATTTTTTTAGAAGTTGGGTTTAATTTAGTGAAAAATATAACACTTATAATTTTTAACTATATTTACTGACGTCCACTTTCCTAACCCCTCAGGAACAGGAACGAATGACAAGAGAGCGTTTAGAACTTGAAAATGCTCTCCATGACATTCAGACCCAGCTAGAACAAGCGAAACAGGTAACGGTTTGTGTAACCCCCCACAGCTTGTCATTGTCTGCTTGTCTGTCTGTCTGCATGTAGTAACAGAGTCTGCATTTTAGTTTTTATATTCATACTGCATGTTGAATTTTGTATCAGTTCTCTTTTTTTTGCATATCATTTGTATAAGACTGATTGATAGATTTTCACAAAATTTAGTATACTGCATGTTGAATTTTACTTTATTCATATACCCTTTAATAGTATAAGACTGCTTGAATAAATTTCAGAAAATCTGAGTAAAAAGTAGATTATTTAAGTTCTGCATGCTTTTGTTAAATTTGATGTTCATACACTGCTATGCTTTTCTGATGCAATATGCTATGTATTTTTTATTGTAGTTTACTCTGTAATACCGTTTAAGTGGAAATTTTAGCGAGACACAAATTTAGTGATTCGACCTTAAAAACTGGTATTTTATTTTTAGCGAGATGTAATTTTAGTGATTTTAAAAAGCTCACTAAAGAAGCTATTACAAATAAAGCGCTATTAATTTTCAGCAGTATTCAATTTTAGCGATCTTGGCACCCTCGCTAATAATGCCAAAATTAAATCCTCGCTAAAAATCCTGCTTATACGGTATGTGGATGTAGATACATACTTGTTACAAAGTCATCTAAAAAATCATTGATAGTGAAAGGGTAGAAAATCTTAATGAAAACAAATGCTTATAAAACTGAAATTTTTCTTTCAAAAAATTTCTCAATTCCATTTCTTGAATTGAAGATGCCAAATAATGACAGAGCAAAGGAAGAGGTAGCAATTTAAATAACTATGAAGGTGTTTAATTTAACAATGAGTAATGCATAATGTATCTCATAGTATTAAATATTATACAGCTACCATAGAATCAGTTTAAATCATGCATAAGAAACATAATTTCATGCTTATTTTGATATATATTATGCCACAGCTGATGATTGCAATTAATACAGAAACAATGCAACATATGGTAAAAGGGTTTTAACAAAGTCATGCTTGCTTATGAACATTTAACATCATCTAGCTCATTCTGCTTTAAAAGAAAAAGGGTGTTTTTGAAATTTAACTTTTGATTTTATTAACAACAGAAAATATTAAATTGAATTAAACAATTTAAATATATATACGTATATTTTTCTCTGCTTGATGTTTTAATCATTCATAAGTAAGCATTCTTTAGTGTGTTTATGAACCAGTCCCGTTGTGTAGGGAACTTGTCTCAATTTTGTTGTTGCCAAACCTACTGTTCCTTGAAAAAAGACTTGTTCAGTTTATTAGCTTAACATTTGTTCTGATGCATTTCCAAGTGCATTAAATGCACTACCCATTCCTATCCTGAAAATGGGAAGTTTAAAGAAATATCATCATTTTGCTTAAAAACACTACCATTTTGCCTAAAAACCATTTACCATTTTGTCTAAATATCATTACCATTTTGCATAAAACATTACGATTTTTCATTAAAAAAAACAGAAACAATACAATTTTGACCAAAATGATTACCATCTTGTCTATAAAAGAATTATCATTGATTTTTCCATAAAATCACCATTACCATTTTGCTGTTTTTATAACATATTTATGGCGTATTTCAATGGATGTTCATGTTTTAACATTTTATCATTCCGTTAAATCTCACATATGCCGCAAGAATTTTTCAAATTTTGTCACTTTCACAGATTTTGACCTTTGTTCACCGGACAATCAATTGCTTTTATAATTTTTCATTTAACTGACTTAATGTTGAAATTTGATAACCTTAACCAACAGCTTTTAGCCACTGATTTTTCAGTAATTTAACATAAATATTTCAAACTTTAACACACACAAGAGAATTTTTAGCTACAGATCCAGGGGACTTAAAGAAATGTTAATTAATTTCTTATGAATCTTTCATTGTTTGTTTTTATAACTATTATTAATTAACTTACAGTTTCACCAATATTTTGAAGGCAAACAATTTTTTTTTCTAAATTTATTTCACATTTTGTGTTTTGATTTTGAATAACACTATTTCTATAAGTACACTGTGTTACAAACACTTGATTTACAAGAAGATTAGATAAAGTAATGTACACAAGTCATAAATCATGATTTTACAAGCTTTGGTTCAAAAATTTCATTTGCCATACTCAGCCATTCACATATCACAATGTGCTGTCATGCATAATCATGAGTTACTTTAAATCATGATAACAATAGTCATGATTCATTTTACATTGTTATTAAATCAATCATGATAATAGCTTGTTTTAACCTGTGTGGATTCTCTTGATCTTTTAGGAGATGAAACAGATGCAGAATCGGACGTCGCATCAGGTGACAGAACTGCAGAATTTGGCAGAAATCCAATTCAGTCGGGCCAATCGACTGGGTGACGAACTTAATAAAATACGCAAAGACAACAAAGAAATGAGAAGAAAGGTATTTCTTTGCCTTAACCTGCGCAAGCCTCTTCATAATTTTCTTTTGCTTTTTACTTTTCTGGATATTTGTACTTTTATGCTTTTTTATTAACTTTTTTTATTCTCTGATAATGTTATGCATGATATTTTGATGAATATTTAAATATTAGTGCATATTGTTATTCAGATTTTACAAACTATCTCTCTTTATTTTTCCCATATAAAACTAAGTTTCTAAAGTAATGAAAGTAGATCAACTGTTGTGTTTATAGCTTACAGAGAACAAAATATTTCAGATTGATGCATATTTGTTTACAAAAAATAGCACCGTATGTTTGATCTTTGCTAATATGACAGTTGATGTACAATTTTAAATCTTTTAAAAACATTTACTAACCAGCTGCTATTAGAATTTTAATTTTCTTGCCTTATATTGTGTTTGAGATCTTAGTTTGAGTGTACAGGCTTGATGAAAACACACCATTCCTATTTCTCCTTGCTTTTCTGCATTACAAGTGCAGGGTCTGTATATATATACAAGGTTGCAGCATCTGGATTTTACACCTTCATTTTTTCAGCTACTAACGAAGAATCAGTTGAACGAAATTGAGAAAGAAAATGAGGATTGTTTCAATTCAAATCTTGTCGATGTAAGTAATTTGTAGCGGGGGTACTGCTAGAACGAGTGCATGTGTTTGCTAATAGTGGTTCAAGTTTTTCATTTGATATAAAAATATGTAGTTGGAATGAAAATCAAAATTTACTTTAAAAATTGAAAGGATGTGGGTCACTTCATGTTAAAATATACTACTTTCTAGTAAGAATATTGTGGATATATTAAAGTGGATATTTATACCTACTGTTGTTGTAGATATCTTTACATTCTGATTTTGTGGATATATGAAAGTGGATATCTTTAAACCCTTTCACAGATGCTTTTTACCTGTAGTCATGCAGTGTGTTTATCTGCCATTAATCGTGCTTTCATAACGTTCACAGTACATGAAATGTAGAAAAGATAATACTACATGTATTTCTGTTTTCCCTAGGATCATTTTATATAATAAACATTTAATTAACATTCAAACTTTTCTTTCAAGTTTTCTTGCACAATCATTGAACTTTAAATCATGATAGCTCTCCTAGTCATTTCTTGAAGTTAGCTCTCATCGTAATCATTGGCACGATATCATCACATCACTTTTTAACAGGACGACAATGACAAGTCGGACGGTGAACTTCAGCACCCAGACGTTATAGACCGGCACCTCGCCAACCTCCAGTACACTGCCCTGCCACAAGCTGAGGTTCCTGTGTTGTCATGCATTGTTACAGGGAAATTTTACACACTGACCAGAAGAAAGCTCTATCTTATTTATGGCAACATATTTAATTTTAAAGTAGTAGGCCTTCATACTGGTACTTATGTGGGGGGGAGGGATCAAGTTAATTCTCTCAGTACCAAATTTTTCTTTCAAACACTACCACTTACCCTTCTTTGAGTACACTGCAACATGCCTGTTGAAAGGGGGGGGGGGCAAACCTACGCCTTAATGTTTGATACTTATATGATGTCTATCTTTGCAAAAAAAGAGGGGGGCTAAGTCCCCCCCCCCCCCCCCCCCCAGGTTCTGATGCCTATGGTTTGGAGTCAATGTCAATGTTTAGAAATTTGATTTTTGTGTTTGTCAGTGTGTAAAATGACCCTTACATGTATCATCTATTCATCTTTATATGACTAGCACTAGACACCTATTTCATATCCTAATAGATTCATATAACAGTAATATACAAATGTATAACTTTTCATAAAGTCAGATGCTAGTAATGTATTCATATAAATACAACTTTTTAGCAAATTTTCTATGTGTTCATGTAAACTTTTTAAAGAAGAATGTTAAAATTAAAACTAATCAACTGACCTATAATATGATTACAGATTATAAAATTTGCAGGTGATACAAATGACTATCAACAGCAACATTTTGTTTTAATCAGCAGATTAAATATTGTGTGTTTGATTACAGGTGATGTCCGATAACAAGGAGAATATTAACATAGAAGGAGGGGGGTCTGGCAAGGACAGCATAAAGGGGAAAATGACGGAGGAACAGGATCTCCTCAGGGTGAGTCAAAGTCTCAAAAATGTGAATCTACAGAATTCAAAGCTCCGGGTCAAAACAGAGAAAAATGTTTAATCTTCACCATCTAATGATTAAGTCTTTAACAAGGCTCTCCTCAGATAAGGGAGAAATGAAATTTGGTTGGGGGGTGATGTTAGCACTGCCCACTGCTTGAGTCCCTTACAACACTTCAGATGAGGAAGAAAATGATTTTTGGGGGGGATAGCAAAGGCAAAGTGCTTCAACAAGTATAAAAATTGTATATTAACTCTTTGCCTATTACGCCGTCTGTGACGTAATAGTAACATTACATTTGTTACTTTTTGATGACGTTATCCTTTTCCCCACAGCGCACTTGCGAATTACGTGCTGAAAAGACGTGGTTTTGAAGATGAATATTTACACGGTGTATGTAGCAATGGTTGTCGTATATATCGCCATATACATGCAACCATCTTTAATTTTGAATTCAAGTATTGATGGAGATTTAATCCTGTTTATTTTGTTTAAATAATTCTTTCATGTGGAATGTTACAAACTTAATTTATTACCTTAGCTTACAACTTATTTATTTTAAATTTCATATTTAAATCTAAAACGTCAATGAAAATAATTACCGGTATTTGATTTTTCAGACAAGGTGTCATTTTATGCTCGTGTTTCAGAACGCACTCCCCCCCCCCCCCTCCCTTTTATTTCTTTGGTCCATGCATATCAACTTTATCGAAACTTGCAGGAAACTTGCAGAATCCTCAATTATAAATAAAAATAGAAATGAGGTCTGGAAGAGAATGATTCTTACTTGTGAAGATTTTTATAAAGGTTATTTTACCGATTTTTTTTTAGGACAAAAAAAGAAGTTTTCAGCATGCTTTCAGCATATTTAATTTTATTTAATAAGAGTTTTTACGAAAAAAAATTATTGGAATATATCGCTTAATTTTATATTGAACAATACAGTAGCGTGTTGATTGTCAAAGGGAAACATTTCATTTTTTAAGTTAAAATTTAACTGATCACATCTTTTTAATATTTTGGCCGATATACGGACGAGATACTGTCGTCGGACTCGGCATTAAAATTATCAGTCTAAAATTAGCATTATATATCTAATCCTTGCTAGCTAAGGTTCCCTGATCCGAAATCTACTATGGTTGAGATGTAAAGCAGATCGGAAACCCTTGGCTAGCTAAGATTGGGATAATCTTTACACCCACATGCGGACTACTAAAAATATCAGCACGTTTAAAAAGCCATGAAATAAAGTAAAAGCTTTTTTTTTAATGTCTAAAGGTTAATTTTCCAAAAAAAAAAAATTAAAAAAGGGGAAAAAAACCCATCGAAATGCAATATTTCTCTTCTTAAGAATGGAATTTGAACACATTTTTAAAAACAATGTAATAGTTTACAAGAGAGGCCAAGAACTTCTCGGACGTAGCTGTCAGTACTCGACATTTTTTCCGATGGTGTCCAAAGTATTCCGAGTATTTGTGGAGCAAATCAAGGAGTACTCCTTAAAAGGTTTCTTTGGAAATGCATTAATTGTAGCTGCAGTTATTGAGAAATTAATATAGTAGATATTTCTAAAATTTCTCCAAGGGTTGTATTAAAAAGGAATACATTTTGCCTTCATTATCAGATTGAACGCAATGAATTTTATGAACATGCAGCGTCGATGTAGACGAAACCTGTCCACTTGTAGAAATTAAAGAATAGTTTATCTTAAAAACTTGCAGAAAATAAAGTCAGATTAAGAAACATAGCATACAATAAAAATTAATCAATCACTCAGGATCTATAAGGAGTTGGTGCGTAGTAGATATACTGATTTTTCAACATCTATACTTTTGTGATTGCTCGGTTATCCCTATGATCATCATATTATTAGAATATACAAGTTAACGCCAAAAAAAAAAAAAAAAAATAATTGATTGTGTTTGTAAAAGATATGCAATTCTGACCGAAATAAATGTTGATATAAATTAGAATGGATAATAAACAGATTATCTCAATGATTTGACGGCATTTTATTTCAGTAATGAAAAAAATTTATTCTACCTACTTTTTCTTTCCGATATTTCATAGTTTATTGGCAATTGTTTGTTAACTTTTATTTTCCGACATATATTAAAGAGTAAATTTCAGGTAATAAAACTGGGAATGAAGACTTTACTAACTGAAAATCAAAATTGAACAATAAATTATTGACATCAAAATAATAAAGATAAAAGCTTTGTTTCGTTTTTAAAGAAAACCATGCTAAATTTGAGATCAGTATCATGTGTCTCGGACAAAGTGCAATCACTGACATAATATAATTCAAATATATGCTTGATTTTTTTATCCTATCGATTATTCATAAACTTGGTAGACATAACCCCCCCCCCCCCCCCCCCCAAAAAAAAAAAAAAAACTCGGAGACACAAAAAATGTCGGAATTGTTGAGTATGATTTCTGAGCTTATATAAATGAAGTACATAATTTCTGATCAGGCCTTTTATATAATTAGCTGTTGATCGAAGAATTAAAAAAATGCCAGAAATGCTGAATATACCGGTAATTCCGGAGATAGATTTAGGAAATAAGTTAGATCGCTGTAGGTGAAAGAAGTTTACCCCCCCCCCCCCCCCCCCAAAGAATGGAGTTTTTACATGTACATGTATCTCTACTGCACTACCCTTTGAATACAGTCACGAGTTAACTGTCCATTCACAAGGTGGATGTCAAGTGTTTTTTTCGGTTTATTACATATAGGAGTCAGAACAGGGGGTGTTGGGGGGGGTAGGGGGGCTTTTCCCCCTCTTATCTGCAAATATATACATAATACATGTATAGGCATTGAAAATTGGGTTTACCTTTTTTTGTTGGTTTATCCCCCCACTTTCAATAACCCCCCCCCCCCCCACTTTCAATTTGCTCCCGACGCCTATATGTACATGTATGTATAACAAAAAACATATAGCTGGTGGAACAATCACATCAGACCGTATCGTTGTCTTTTTATAGAAAGTTAATATTTACTCCCATATTAAGTGTTTCTTAACCATATCATTTCTAGTGTATGCAGTGTTGACAAGCTTGAACCTACAGAGTACACGTATACATATGATATTCTTAAACTACATGCAACAGGGATTATTGAATATTTTTAAATACACTGACAATTTAAACCCACTAAAGGTGGATCAAGGAATATTCCCAGGCACGTAGCATCGATTTTGAAAGTGAGGGGGCCAGCCACAGATATTTTTTTTTACTTCCAAGAAATAGTTGACAAGCAAAATAAAAAAAAAGAAGGAAATTGTTCAAAGTCGAAAATCCTATTTCGTTGGGGGGGGGGAGGGGTGGGGGGTTAAACTTTTTTCACTACCAATTCCTTTCAATATCCATTTTTAAAGCTTACAATACCATATTTTCTTAATATTACTTTACTTTAGCATAAAGTGGGGGGGGGGGGGGGGGCAACCAACCTTTCAATAAACATTTTCAATAGTAAAAGTATTGTTGGCAAAAAAAGTGGGGGGGCCAGGCCCCCCTGCCCCCCCCCCCCTGTTGCTACGTCCCTGATGCCTAAGGGACTAATCAGTAGACACGTCTTTTAATTATATTCCCATTCCGAAGCCAAGGAGAGGGAGGGGAAAGGTATATACTGTTTACCTAGTGTGCTTGTCCATCTATCTAGCTGTTTGTGTGTCTGTCAGTAACAAAGTTTTGATCGCAGTTATCGCAGCAACTACTCATCAAAGATGCTTGATATTTTAGCACATTCTTCACTGAGGCATGCTATATCGTGGTATTTATTATTTTTTTTAATCTGATATCATTACCTTATCCGTGCGTCTGTCGTACAAAAAATAACACATTTCCATTGCAGTTTTTTTTCCAGAAACTACACATGTACATATATTGCAGTTGTTTGAAATTTTTTAGCACATACTTTAAATTGTTATGACATGCCATATGATGGGATTTATTTTTTTATGAATCTGATATCAACTTCTTATTTGTCCGTGCATATGCACGTAATTGAACTTGTGTAAATTTTAATTAACATATCTGTATTTTCACAACAGAGCGGGGTATTACTAGGATTACTATCGAGTATTGGCCCACAGACTTGTTGTTTGTCCAGCCATGTTTTTAAAAATATCAATCAAGTATGTAGTTTACTTGCATAAAAATTTCCCGAATACCTTGATTTATGTACATATTCATGAATGCATATTTTTAAAAACCAATACAAATGAGTTAGTGCAACACTTTTTTTAAGAATATTGGAAACGTTGACTTGATAATGAAATCATTTAAATTTGAATTAACTTGCATCTATTTCAACATGATATATTGTCGTATTTTTTCCTTTCCAATTATGTATTTTTTTTTATTGCTGTGTAAGGCAGAAACAATAAAATGGTATTTTTACGAATTTAAATCGACCAAGAAATAAGATTAAATGTAAATTTAAGCAAAACTTTATTCTATGAACAAAACTTTTTTTCTCTTCAGTTGGTTGAGTATGAATTAATTTTTTTTTGTAATTTTATCTATTCCTTTTGTCGATTTTTGCGCATACTTTTATCAAATATTAACATTAAAAAAATTGATTTTGTAGAATTTTATAAATTCTGAATCATAGAACCCATCTCACACAATATTGGGGTACAATCACATCACCAACCGAGTGGTTCAAGTTGCGGGCTTATTTAGTGTCAAAAGAAAGACCTTCTTAATTTGTCTCGCACATGTCGCACCCAAAGTTTCGTCTAATAAATCGAACGACTTGGACATATTAAAAACGAGGATATAAATTGTTATTTGCGAAATATATTAGAATGGAATTAAAAAAACATTATCTTATCATTTATTGTCATACCATCAAAACTTTACGTTGTATCAGAGCAGAAAACGTCAAAAACGCAATGTGCGTTAAAGTGCGTGATTGTGGGGTAAAGGTATATGCGTTAAAATGCGTGATTGTGGGGCAACGGTATATGCGTTAAAATGCGTGACTGTGGGGAAGGGGGTTAATTCTAATGCAATTTTTCATTCCAGCATCAATTACAAGAGCAGATGAGGAGACATGCGGAAGCCATGGAGCATGCTCGGCTCCAGTCAGAGGGGACAATAGAGAGCCTGAGACAGAAGATGAATGCTCTGCAGGACGTGCTGGTCTCCACGGGGGAGGACTCCAACACCAGACTCTCCCTGATCAGGAAAAGATCGCGGTCCTCCTCCCCTGGCAAATCTCTACTGGACACCACCATTAGGGTAAGGCTGTCCTCAGAGCATAGATTAGGGGAATAAGAAAGCTTGTGAAATGAAGTGTATTTGTTGTTGGTGGTTGTTTATCATAAACAATTTTGGCTAGATTTTAAATTATGATCAGGTCCAGAGGGATTAATATGTCTGTCTTACAATTATTCTATATTTGAGAAATATTTTATCCTGAAAGAAATCAGTTTGGCCAGCAGAGAAAAATGATATTTTTAAAAGTCCTCTCAATCTGTATCCATGATTTTCTTTGTGAAGTCTTTTGTTGTTCATTTTATTCTGACTGCAATCTTTAGGCTTTATATTTAGATAAATCAGAATATGTTAATTTTGAATATACCATTTTGATGAAAAAGGATATGTGATTTGATGAATTCATAGACATTTTTTCTTTTCCATTCAGGGTAGGCAAAGATCTAAAAGCCCCATATCAGGACGAAGTTACCTAGCACAGCGACCTAGGTCAAGGTCCGGGTCATACGAAAGGTCCCTATTTCCAGAGAGAGATCGTAAGTTAATATTTACTTATTTTATACTATAGAAAGTATTTGATTTTAATTTGTCAAGGATATTTGTTGATCTGAATGATGAATCTTTCCCCTCTAGCATGATAGAACTTAGCAACTGTCAACATTGTTTGATGACAAGTGACATTAAAAAAAAATATTGACTGCACAAATTTTATGCTCAATTGCTTTTCCTTTATTTAAATTTGTATAAAATATTGATTATAATATAAACTGCATATAGCTGAGAGTCACATTGAAAAATTTTTAAACCCTCAAAACCATTGTCAACTTTGGCTGTGCCTTGGTTGACAATGGTTTTTCTTGTTTTGAAACTTTTCAATGGTACATTTAACTACATGCAATTTTTAACTATTGACAAAAACCTGAAGTATATGTTTACACTTGTTAGAAATAAACCTAACAATGCAATATTTGTTTTTAAATTACAGTTGCCTGAGTTGAAGAACAACAGAAAAATGGAAGGATGTTTAAAATTTTGTACTGTACCACTTTCCAAAAGTGGTCCAACTGAGCTGTGATATTTCTACAATAGTCCCATCAAATCTGTTGTCAGAACATTTCCTGTCCAAAGCTATCTGTGATTATGTGATTATAATTTGCAACAATATGTAGTATTATATGTAATAAATTTTTTATTATTTATTTCTTAAATAAAATACTATTTATTAGGTAGGGTCTATGTTTGTCTGTATAATTTTTTCAAATTTTTTTCTCTTTTTTTTTTGCTTGCATAAAAATTTTCTACAAAATCTTGTACATGTATTTTCCAGTCCATCCAGAAATTATCCGTTCCTTAAAAAATATATATACATGTATATATTTTAGTATGTAATTTTTATCAAGTCTTTTTTTAATGATGTATTACATATTTATTACATTTTATATGTGGTGCTTTCAGCAGTGTCTATTATTTATATATATGATAATATTTATTTGAATTTAGGGAGTTACAAGAAAGTATTTATCATGTTGAAAGAAAGTTGATGACTGCTTGTGCCAAAGTGTCAAAGTTGTGTGAAAAATTATTGTAACAAAGAGTATTCATTAGACAGCAGCAGAATTATTGTTGTATATGTATATATACAATCATACCAATGTGTAATGTTTTATGTATAAATTATAAATGTGTAATAAATGAAAACAAAAACATTCTTGCTTATTTGTTTGAACCATTTTGATACTAAACCCTATATATGAAGTATTGCTTTGGAATTCAAACAGTTGACTAAAAATGCATTCAGGTTACATAATTGTCTACAGAAGTGCTTTAAACATAATTGAGAAATTGACAGAGATTGTGCTACTTACACATCATAAGGATGTATTCACATTAAAATACTTAATAGGTGGATGCAAAATGCAATTAACTGCATTATTAGGTTGTACACAAATATGAAAACAACTGAACAGACAAAAGCAAGTCCATTTTTTAAGGTCTTTATTTGTCCTAAATTCAAGTTTATTTACCTATACAAAACAAAAACAGTGCAGAAGTGGAAGGTAAATTATTAAAGTAGTTTTTTCAACCATTTTAGATGATGCCTTGACATTATATAGTCATACTACTATGTTAAATGGATTACAATATTTACATGAACTCGAGCAGTATTATTTACATGTCTCTTAAATAATTAAAGACCTTGACCTCTGGGCGATAATAAGAAATCCAAATCTTGTTTTCTTTGTCAACAGATATTCCATTCCAATATTCATCATCTGTACATGTATTTATGGAAGTGAGATATTTCCCATTTCTGTCCAACATGTGAATACGTTTATCTCCAGTGTAAATGAATAAAATACAACAAGCAGTATCAGTTGCTAAACCGCTTAGTGTAACAGAAGTAGATTCACTTTCATACATGGATTTGAGATGTCCATCTTTTGAAACAACCACGATACTGTCTCTTGTTTCACTGCGTGAATTACAAACGCATACATCGCCATTTCTATTTTCTGTAACAAAGGTGGCATCTTCAAATAGGGGATTATTTCCATTATACTGAATTGTTTGAGTGATCTTGTTGCCTTTGAATCGAACAACTCGACTTTGGTTACTATCACTCTTCATGCACACAAGTAAATCTCCTAATAGTGTACAGTAAACCCAGATAGCATGACTATGTTGGGCCAACATTTGTTAAAGGTTGTATGGTTGGCGTTGGGGGAACAACGTTGGGCCAACGTTAGACCAATGTTACCAAGTCAACCTTCTCGACCATGACGGAATTCCTATGCTGGCCCATTGTTGGTCCAACGTAAGCAACTTCCATTCACTTTAGTTTCCAAAGAAGGAAGGATCATGGCGTTGGCCCAACGTTGGACCAATGTTTATAATACACCCTTAAAGAAAGTGTATTTACAAGTTGGTAGTAGTATGTTGGCCCAACGTTGGCCCATTGTTTGTAATACACCCTTAAAGAAAGTGCCTTATCAAGTTTGTAGTAGTATGTTGGCCCAACGTTGGCACAATGTTTGTAATACATCCTTAAAGAAAGTGCCTTATCAAGTTGGTAGTATTATGTTGGCCCAACGTTGGCCCATTGTTTCTAATTCACCCTTACAGAACGAGTCTTATCAAGCTGGTAGTAGTATGCTGGCCTAACGTTGGCACAATGTTTGTAATACATTCTTAAAGAAAGTGCCTTATCAAGTTGGTAGTAGTATGTTGGCCCAACGTTGGCCCATTGTTTGTAATACACCCTTAAAGAACGTGTCCTATCAAGTTGGTAGTAGTATGTTGGCCCAACGTTGGCCCAATGTTTGTAATACACACAAGTGTTATTTTGTTTAGGTCTTCAAAGATGGGATATTTATATTGGGCCAACGTTGGCCCAATTATTATACTGCCAACTAATTGATGGAGTCAATTTTATAATTAGCTGCTGAGCTTTACGTTAGGACAACGTTGGTACATTCTGAAATAATTGAGAGGACTTTCTATGTCCATGCTTATCAGTGGATGACTGCTTTTGTTTAGATATGATATTTTCAACATTTTAACTTTGCACTTAAGAGATCAAGCACCAAAGAGTGTTTTATTCTATTTTTTGAATTGTGTATATGCTTATTTATTTGTAATAACCCAGATAGCAGAACACCGTTGGCCAAATCTTACATTATGGTTCTATTATCTATGTTGGGTTACCTTGATTGGGCCAACAATGGCCCAACATGGAATATTGATAGCTGGTCATGTATAATAGTGCACTAATTTTGGGCTTACTGTTGGCATTATATCATAAAACTATTATCATGAGAGAAAATATTTGTTTGGAGATTGGCATCGGCCCTACGTTGGCCCAATATACCATGAATCGGACTGAGCATCATGGGTAGACAACAACCGGGCTTCTTGTAATATCCGCGCCATTTTTAATCTGACACGAGCGTAATGAGACTGATACCTTGCATATCTGCACTCACTTTGTAAGTATTAATAATATGTTTGCCTCGGCACCGCTGAATTAACGTTTAGTTTTTAAATGATATCATGTACAAATCTGTGTAAATCAGACACGGGGAATGCAGAGGCCAGGTGCTGTTGGGTCAACACTGTACAGATAGCATGCTTACATTGGGCCAACGTTGGGCCAATGTAATCGGTTACATCGGGCCAATTTTGGCAAATGGCATTGATCCAATTTAAGTTTGCTCATCGACCCAATGTTGGCCCGATATGTTGGGCCAACGTTGGCCCAATGTAGAGTGTTATTTCTACAGATATTGGCCCAACGTCGCGCCAACATTGGCCCAATAAATGCGACATTGTTGGCGAAACGTCAACAAGAACATTGGGCCGATGTTGGCAAATGCCGTTGGCCCAGTGTCATTTTGCTCCTTGGTCATATGTTGGTCCGATATATTGGACCAACATTGGCCAATGTGTATAAACATGTGATTGTTACAAATCTGTTCGTCTCTACAATCAGAAATAAATCTACAACCAATCCTACTTGAAAAATCAAGCTAGCTAAAAAAAAATTTAAACAATATTAACAAATCTGATCGTCTCTACAATCAGAAATAAATCTACAACCAATCCTACTTGAAAAATCAAGCTAGCTAAAAAAAATTTAAAATTCTCATAATTTATCGAAACAAAATAAATAATCAGTGATTAAATTTTTTGTTTATATACAAGAAAAATAAATGAAAGTATAAAAATGTGTTTTGATACAGTTAAAACAATTAATAATTTGCTCGTTATTTAAATTGAAATTTGTGTCTAGTAGAATACATTTCCGAAGTCTACCACTTAATTTACTTATATACACTTAACGTCGAGAACATGATCAAACATTTTGAAAATGTTGAATTTGCTGAAGTTAAAACAAAATTTATTCAGTACTAAAAATTAATTGGGTTCTTTCATTTAAAATTTGTTCAGTGTAACGACAAATTTTCAATACATGTATTTTATATGGGGCAACATTGAATCAAAATTGTTTTGATGATGATATCAAGCGTATAAATATTATGCATAAATGCTTTCATCACGCAAGCTAATCACTTAATCACACCATGAAACAAAAAAGACGGTTATTCCTTAATTGACAGCTTAAACATATAGTGATATACTTGTAAATTTAATCGTATGTTTACTCTTTACTGAGAAAAGTAACAAATATATTAAGTACCAAATATTACAATTTTAGTGCTACTGGAGATTCTAAAAAGACATGGAGAACACAATCAAAGAATGGCTAAGGTATGCCAAGGACAGGGATGAGGGAGGAAGAGACGGACAGAGAAGAAAAGAAAGGGGAGGAGGAGACTCGGGAAGAGGAAATGGAGACTTAGGAGAGGGATCAGATGGAAAGTGGCAGTGCCTAACTTTTTTCTGTGATATAGTATGACATTCCTGTAGTTCTACTTTTTTTTGTGTCTGTTTGTCGGTTATAAACTCGATGCAGATGCCAGAAAATTTTTTTCTGTAAGTAAACAAAATGACGGGATTCATTCTAGTATTATTTTAAGAACAGCTAGGAGGGCTTTGTTTATTTGTTAGACGTGCTTATTGATACCTGTAATTTACTGAACTTGTGCATAATTTACATCAGAGAGGGAGTGTACAGTCATGTAACCCTACATGTATAGCTTGAAGTGAGCATCCACTTTTAATTCTTTATTAATGTTTTCTTCATGCACTGAGCAATAAAATTATAGTATGTTATAATTGAATTTTATATTTTGATTTCTTTTTTCTCAGTTTTTTTAATTAATGTAGAACTACTTACAATGCAATGCTTGTTGATGGCAATTCTATGAGAATATTGAGAATATGTATTAAACTATTAATCTAGCACATATAGCATATATAGATAGTATTAAAGGCTTTTACCATTTAACTGTACTACAAAACTAGTATAACCTTATAGTATATATTTGTTTGTCAATTTTGAGGACAAATGGCCAACCAGTGAAGAGCAAATGAGTTGTCATGATGGAGAGCCAATAAGATACAAACCAACGTTGGCCCAAAAATGATGTTTTCCTGATATTGAAAGAATAAGTGGCCCAACAATGGCTCAATGATATCCGTTCGTTGGTCCAACAATAAGCCAACAAGTTGGTTTGATTAAGGGCCGATGAGCAAAATACCGATGGCCCAACATTAATTGCTTACAAGGCCTAACTGTACAAAAATGACGTTTGCCCAACATTGAAAAAATACATTGGCCCAACAATAAGCCAATAAGTTGGTTTGATTAAGGGCCGATGAGCAAATTACCGTTGGCCCAACATTAGTTGCTTACAATGGCCCAATTGTTCAAAAATGACGTTTGCCCAATACTGAAATAATACAATGGCCCAACAGTGGCCCAATTTTAACTGTTACATTGGCCCAACAATAAGCCAACAAGTTGGTTTGATTAAGGGCTGATGAGCAAATTACCGATGGCCCAATGTTGAATTCAAACAGTGGCCCAACATAAGGAGCGTTGTTGGCCCAACAAAGGTCCAATAACATCCTGCTATCTGGGAAGTCCTTTTGGTAACCAATCATTACACTGATGAATTTTATGAAACCCTGTTTCGTTATATTTCATTACTGATCTCGTTTTCCAACATGTGAAAAATAGTTCGCCGTCCATATTTGAAGAAATCGCTTCTGGAAATTCGTGCAATTTGACACTTCCCGTTTCTTCGCCTTGAATGTTCTTTCTCGCTACGAGGTTGTCATCACGTCCAATCCACGCCTCCTCTGAATTTATGCATGCTATCCCACGAATAAAACAGACATTTTTTTCAAAAAAGGATGAAACCACTCTCGTGTCTTTTAACAAATGACGTGAACCAGATTCGCTCTGAGACTGTAATACTGGCTGCTTGATTGTTCCAAACATTTCTTTTTTTACCTTCTCTGTTATGTTCTTTTCCACAAAGAACGGAAACTGTATTCTTTCGTTTGTTGGATTTAATTTCTTGTCAAGATTTGAAGTATGGTTCAGGATTTCTAATACATCAACTCGTTGGAGAACGCCTTTGTTCATTAAAATATTCTTCCTCATGATGGAAAGCGAGTTTTTCAATGACATCAATTCATTCCTCAACATTATTTCGTGAAGTTCCTCCATTTGCCGCAGTTGCCTTTTGATATTTTCCATCATTTCGTCTACTGCCTGGTGAAGACGTTTTGCTTGGTTTTCAACGGCTTTGTGGATTTTATTGTACTTTTTGACAAGATTTGAGAGTTCAGTTTCCAGTTGCGATATTGCATGTAAGAAGTTTGGTATTGTCTTACTTTCGATGAAAGATACATCCTCCTGTAATTCTTTCTTTTTGATCCGAAATATTTCTTCAATTTCACGCAGTAGATGCGACTGATGTTCCCGTACTATACATTTGCTACATACTGGTTTCCAGCAAGTTTCACACAGTAATTCGCAGACTTGTTTATGAATATCACATAAAGAAAACCTTATTTTGTCTGCATGTCTGTGCTTATAGCTAACAATGTTGTGTGTCTTTGATAAATCGGAATCAAAATGTTTATTCACACAACTCCGACAAAGATCTTCTCGACAAGTTACACAGCGTACATGAATTTCCAAATTTTCGCAAACATGGCACCGTGCTGCATCTTGCGCTCTGCTTGTTGGGAACATAGTTTGAGATGCGTATCTCAAGTTTTTTGTCTCAAATTCTCATACAAGTTGAATGAAAAAGTCGACGAGTGGCACATTCTTTAAATCTAGAAGAAGAGAAGACAATTTAGTTTCTTGTAACTAATTCTTTTAATGTTCTTTTTTTAAAATTTATTCAAAACGTACCCAAAATTAAAAAAAGAAATAACGACACACAGTGTTGCAATATAAACCACGCTTCTTTAGCTTTGAGATACCCCATGTACCAAATTTTGGTTTGGGAGAATAAATTGAACTTGAGTTATTATGATTTATGGTATTGATCGAATGTTCATTTGTTGTTTTACATCCCATTCAAGACTTTTTTTCACCACAAATAAAGCAAAATTTTAAAGAGATTTTTAAAAAAAAATAAATTACTAGTATTCTATACTTGTCCAATTTTTGATTCCACTGAAACAGGATGTAAAGAATTAATGTATTTATTAGGGATGGCAATCGATTGCAGAATTGCTAATCGGTTAACTGCAAGACGTTCCGACCGATTAGCCGGTTAGTCGTATCAAAATGTATATTTTTGACATTTTCTTTTCATATACACAAAAAGGCTTAAAAGATGTTAAAAGTTATACATTCTGTTTATTATTTTGTAAAATATATATAATTTGTATATAAATACTATTTATATGTAGTCTATTTGTTACCGATTTTTATTTAACAAACTTAACATTGTAGAAAGAGTGATTTGAAAGAATTGAAAAAAAATGTTTAGGAACCATTAAAGTCTATTTGTCTCAAAATTAAGTAGCAATTTGCCGTTTTGTTTCTTTGATTTTAAGCTACCTGAGCTGAAAGCTCAAGTGAGCTTTTCTGATCACCAGTTGTCCGTCGTCCGTCCATCTGTCTGTCTGTTTGTCTAGCTGTCTGTCTGTCTAGCTGTCTGCCCGTCCGTCCGTCTGTAAACTTTTCACATTTTTAACTTCTTCTCAAGAACCACTGGGCCAATTTAAACCAAACTTGCCACAAAGATTCTAGGGTGAAGAGAAATTAAAATTTTTTAAATCAAGGACCATGCAAGTCTCCTTCCAAGGGGAGATAATCAAGAAAATACAAAAATAGGGTGGGGTAATTAAAAAATCTTCTTCTCAAGAACCACTGGGCCAGAAAAGTTGAAACTTATATTGAAGCATCCTGGGGTAACGTAGATTCTAAATTGTTAAAATCATGACCCCCGGGTTTAGGGCGGGACCATACTAGGGAATTCATGTTTTACATAGAAATATATTGGAAAAAACTATTAAAAATCTTCTTCTCAAGAACCACTGGGCCAGAAAAGCTGAAACTTATGTGGAAGCATCCTGGGGTAGTGTAGATTCTAAATTCTTCAAATCATGACCCCCGGGGGTAGGGCAGGGCCACAATAGTGAATCAAAGTTTTACATAAAAATATATTGGAAAAACTTTTAAAAAAATCTTCCTCTCAAGAACCACTGGGCCAGAAAAGCTGAAACTTATATGGAAGCATCCTGGGATAGTGTAGATTCTAAATTGTTTAAATCATGACCCCCGGATTTAGGGCGGGGCCACAATAGGGAATCCAAGTTTTACATAGAAATATAGAGGAAAAGACTTTGAAAATCGTCTACTCAAGAACCACTGGGCCAGAAAAGCTGAAACTTATGTGGAAGCATCCTGGGGTAGTGTAGATTCTAAATTATCCAAATCATGACCCCTGGGGGTAGGGAGGGCCATAATGGGGAATCCAAGGTTTACATTGAAATATATATGGACAAATCTTTGAAAATCTTCTTTTTAAGAACCATTGGGCCAGAAAAGCTGAAACTTATGTGAAAGCATCTTGGGGTAGTGTAGATTCAAAATTATCCAAATCATGATCCCTGGGAGTAAGGCTTAGCCAAAATTGGTATTACAAAGGGGGAATCTATTAAAGAACAGCATGACCAATTAAAGTTTCTCAGGTGAGCCCATGGGCCTCTTGTTTGTTTAACGTCCTTCTCGAGAATTTTTCACACATATGGAAACGCAATCACATGCCGATAGACAGCTGCAAATTTTGTCTTATACTCATTTTTTCGTGCCAGCACTTACATGTACTACACTTGGTCTCATCCGAAGGATCAGTCCCCCCTTCTACAAGGGAATTTCGAACCTGCGACTTTATTAAGGATCAGCTACTACTTCGCGACTCTAGAACAGATGTGCCGTTTTATATACGATTTCCATTATACATGACAACTCTAAGATCCCTAAATATTATTTTAAATTGATATATTTTATTTCCTATAATGGAAAACAAACGGAAAACTAAAACAAGATAAACTTACCTTTCACATTAACAACATACATATATTTGTAGCATATAAAATGATTCTACACACTAGTCTGCAGACGTGTTTGTTATCATCATTGAATTTTGTTTGTTAAAAAGCGATTTTTGTCACCCAGGGCGACGTCATTCATAGGAGACCATCTCTCGTATTCTCTATCGAGAGTTATCTTTCGTTACGCTCACAACACCTCTGTCAATGCTCGTTATCAGTGATTCTTGTATGCATCAATTACAAGAGCAGATAAAGAGACATGCAGAAGCCATGGAGCATGCTCGGCTTTAGTCGGAGGGGACGATAGAGAGCCTGAGACAGAAGATGAACGCTCTGCAGGACGTGCTGGTCTCCACAGGGGAGGATTCCAACACCAGACTCTCCCTGATCAGGAAAAGATCGCGGTCCTCCTCCCCCGGCAAATCTCTACTGGACACCACCATTAGGGTAAGAAAATCTCTACTGGACACCACCATTAGGGTAAGAAAATCTCTACTGGACACCACCATTAGGGTAAGAAAATATAGATCTGGACACCACCATTAGGGTAAGAAAATCTTTACTGGACACCACCATTAGGGTAAGAAAATCTCTACTGGACACCACCATTAGGGTAAGAAAATATAGATCTGGACACCACCATTAGGGTAAGAAAATCTTTACTGGACACCACCATTAGGGTAAGAAAATCTCTACTGGACACCACCATTAGGGTAAGAAAATCTCTACTGGACATCACCATTAGGGTAAGAAAATCTTTACTGGACACTACCATTAGGGTAAGAAAATCTCTACTGGACACCACCATTAGGGTAAGAAAATCTCTACTGGACACCACCATTAGGGTAAAAAAATCTCTACTGGACACCACCATTAGGGTAAGGCTGTCCTAAGAGCATAGATTGGAGGAATGAGAAAGCTTGTGAAAAGGCGTTTGTTGGTAGTTGTTGTGATCAGAAACAATTTTTTATGAAATCTGGAGGGCCTTTGTGTAGTTTTCCAATGAGAATCAGGTCTAGGGATTAATAATGTCTGTCTTTCAATCAATGTATATTTGAGAAATATTTTATTCTTGAAGAAATTGGTTAGGCCAGCAGGGAAAAAATGATATTTTTAATAGTCCCCTCCCTTGATCTGTATTAATGATTTTACTTGTGTTGTTTTCAAATCTTTTGTGGGTCAGTTTTTCATTCTGTAATCTTCAAACTTTTTGAATAGATAAAGCAGGATAAATTCCTTTTGAAAATACCATATTGTTGAAAATTATGATATTATGAATTCATAGAGAGTTTTTTTTATTCCATTCAGGGTAGGCAAAGATCTAAAAGTCCCATATCAGGACGCAGTTACCTGGCACAGCGGCCTAGGTCAAGGTCGGCGTCATATGGAAGGGCCTTATTTCCAGGGAGATCGTAAGTTGATATTTACTTCATTTATACTTTCTCGGAAAGTATTTGATTTTGATTTGTTGAGGAATATTTGTTGATCTGAATATTGGATCCTTTCTCTCCACCATGATTAATTTTGAAACATGCAGTCAACATTGCTTGTCGACAAGCAATATTAAGAAATGCACGTACATTTATACTGACTGCACAAAATTTAAGCATGTGTGCCTCACTTTTAATTGAATCTATATACTGTATACAGGGAAATTTTCGCCCCCGTTTTATTTTCGCCCCTTTCGCCCTACCCACAGGTGGGCGAATTTAAAAAGGGGCGAATTAAAAATACACAGCATGATTTCTTAAACAGTATTGTAACTGGGCGAATTTAAAACAGGGCAAAATTGTTTCCAAGTGTGAAAGGGCGAAAATAAAACGGGGCGAAAATAACCCTGTATACAGTATTAAAACATTGAGTACAATACTGTAAATGTATTATATACAGCATGTACGATATTTGGCGTATTTTTGAAGAGTTAGCGTAGATTTGATTTAGCGTATTTCTCAATGTTCTTATGTTTATATGTGCAAGACATTTAGCATTGTATTTGAATTAGCAGAAGTTCCTTTCCGCCAAAAACACTAAAAAGAAAACACAGCCAAATGTAATACGTTTATAGTATTATAGACTGCAAATACATGTGTAGTTAAAAGTTACATTGAAAATTTTCACCCCTCTCAAACTGTTGTCAACTTGAGCTTTGCCTTGGTTGACAATGGATTTCTTGAAGTGAAATTTTTAAAAGTTACCCTGAACTACATGCATAAATATCTGTATTAAAACTCACAATGCAGTAATATGTTTTATTACATTACAGTTCCATGAGGTGAAGAACAACAGAAAAATGGAATACTGTTAAAAACTCTGTACAACTTTTCCAAGTTGGTGGGTCCAGTTGAACTGTGATGTTTCTACAATAGTCCTAACAAGTCTGTTGAACATTCCTGTCCAAAGCTATATGTGATTACAATTTACAACAACATGTAGTATTGTATATAATTAATTTTATTATTTTTTTTGAATAAAATATATTTTTAATTAGGTAGGTCCTATGTTTGTCTTTACAGTTTTCAATTTATTCTCTTTTTTTTTACATGCATAAAGATTTTTGTACAAAATCTTGTATATTCCAGTCCATCCAGAAATTATCCATTCCTTAAAAAATGATATATATTTTAGCATGTAATTTTTATCCAAGTCTTTTTTTTTTTGTAATGATGTATTACATATTTATTACATTTATATGTGGTGCTTCCAGCAGTGTCTATTATTTATATATATATGATAATATTTATATGAATTTAGGGAAGTTACAAGAAAGTATTTATCATGCTGAAAGAAAGTTGATGACTGCTTGTGCCAAAGTGTCAAAGTTGTGTGAAAAATTGTTGTAATTAAGAAGTATTCATTAGACAGCAGCAGAATTATTGTTGTAAATGTATATACATATATATATATATATATATATATATATATATATATATATATATATATATATATATATATATATATATATATATATATATATATATATACCAATTTATGAATTATAAATGTGTAATAAATGGAAACAAAAACATTTTGGTAACTTTTTTCACTATTCTGGTGCAAGTCAATTTTTAGCACTTATGGGCCAAAGGGTCAAAGAGCTAATGCTATGCCATTTTTGTGTGTGTGTATGCATAAACTTTCTGAAATAATGACCATTTCTCAAGAACTCCTAGACCAATTTCTGTCAAATTTGTTTCAGAGTATCTTTGGCCCAAGTTTTTTTTTTATTATTAAACTAGGAATATGGCCCTTGAACAAAGGGAGATAATTGAAAAAATAAAAGCAAAAATACTGGTTGCTACATGTGAAAATGATTTTCAAGAAATCCCTGGCATAGTATCATCTTCAAACTTTTACACACAAGCATGAGTATATGTTGTAGATAAAAAGTTATTCAAGGTATCACCTTGAGGCAAACGGTGTGGTCTCAAGGTCACTACATAGTTTAAAACATTAATATTTTGCTTACTATAAAAACTAGGATTACCAAATGTTGTCAATTGATAAATCTTAGGACCTCAAAGCCTACCGACTCAAAAATAGGTCATGTGGCCTTTATAAATTTTGCATGTATTCATTTTCAGCTTGATTTTGATGTATATCTTGGATAATCATCATAACATATCAGTTTATGCATTATATGGGATCATGAAGGGTAAGCTATACCGTGACCTTTTTTGAAAATTTATGGATAAATCATTTTCAGTGATTAAGGCTATGGTTATTATCGCAAATACATGTACTATGCGATGTGGTCCATGGGCCTTTTGTTTCAAGCTTGTGTGTAAAGTGGCATATAGGCCAATCGCTGGGTGTTAACTGTTAATTTATACAGCTTGTGAATATAAATATATGTACATGTACACATGTTACTATAAATAAATAAGTAACTTACTTACTATGATGATTAAAATCATCAAACCGCGTAATTGAAAATTTTTGCGGCATGAGGCCTCAAATTATTTTTACCAAAAAGTAGGTCACAAGGACCGTCACTTTGAATTTTATGGCTATATTTGAATATGGCAGGACTTATTGCATCAAAATCGTAAATCTTTGTCAGTTGATGCATCTTGGGTCCGCTCATTGTGCCAACTGAAAAGAAGGTCAGTGTCCTACTTTTTACTAATTTCTAACTATCAATGATGTCCCTAACATACTCTACTAACTAGACATTGATTCTTAACGGGGCATAGACACAGTTTCAGCTTAAAATTATATTTTCCATTTTTATGAATATTTAACTAAGGTCTATCTAATGATAAGAAACTGAACTTCAGTTGTTGAGATACAAGACAGATTTAGAGCTCCAAACCTTTGTTATGTAAAGAGGGTCCCTGTCATGTTTTGTTGGTGTGTTCCGATTTCGCCTTAACTGTGAAATACCGGTAAGAAAAAGTTAAAAAGTACTAAGGCGAAATGGGAATTTTTTATTTGTAAATATTATTACTAGGTTGATAGAAAAAATAAAATTTTCAGATTGAATTTAACAATTAATGGGAATTTATGAATACTGTAAATAAAATAATACGTGTAATACCAAAAAATACTTTATGCTAAATATATTAAATCTTCATCACCTTCATTCACGTAAGAGCTTACTAAGGTAAAATGGGAATGCTAAATTTCACAGTTAAGGCGAGATGGGAACAAACCGTTTTGTTTACATAGATTAATATACTAAAATATGTTCGTTCAAAGCAAATAATTTCAATAAAGAAGTTAATTCTAAATACAATTAAACAGTTTCTAGTGATTTGCTGAATTTCAGTTTATTATAAATATAATGAATGTATTTTCTATATGTAAACAAAAACAAGGCACGGGTCTTGTTTACTTTTTAAAGAACGTTCTGTTCTGTATCTCGTTTGTTAATCAATAAATGATGTTCAAATTTTTGCTGATTATTAGATGATGCCTTAGCTAGGAATTAAGAACTGAAATTGGTTTAAAATATTCAGTTGAAACTGTGTCCATGTCCCTTTAAATTATATACTTCCATTATATTGTGAAATAAAATGTAAATTTAGGTATCTTACACCGTGTACATGTACGTATGAAGTAACAATTTACAAAAACATTTAGTGTAAGTACTTGAATACTTTTACACGACATCCGTAAATTTCGGCTAGCCAAACTTTGTTGTCTTTGTCAATAGATATCCCATTCCAGTACATGTAATCGTCAGTACATGCATTAATAAAAGTCAGAAACTTCCCATTTTTATCCAACATGTGAATACGTTGATCGTTATGGTATATGAATAAGATACAACAGGCACTATCTGTCGCTATGCCTCGTAGAGTTGCTGAGGCTGATTCACTTTCATACACGAATTTAAGAAGTCCCCCTTTTGAAACTACCACGATACTGTCTCGTGATTCATTGCGTGAATTACAAACGCAGACATCACCATTTCTATTTTCAGTAACAAAAGTGGCATTTTCAAACAGGGGATTATTTCCATTATACTGAATTGTTTGCGTGATCTGATTGTCTTTGAATCGAACAACTCGACTCTGGTTACTATCGCTCTTCATACATACAAGTAAATCTCCTAACGATGTACAGTAAAGTCCCTTCGGTAACCAATCGTTAAACTGATGAATTTTATGAAAACCATTTTCATTATATCTCATGATTGATCGTTTTTCCCAGCATGTAAAATATAGTTCACCCTCTGTATTTGATGAAATAGCTTCCGGAAATTCATGTATTTGGACACTTCCCGTTACATCGCCATGAATATTTTTTCTCAGTATGACATGGTCATCACATTCACTAATCCACGCCTCCTCTGAATTTATGCATGCTATCCCATTGAGGACTGAGGAATTTTCAACATGTATGGTTGAAACCACTCTTGCTTCTTTGAGGAAATGTCGCTGGCCAGATTCGATAAGAGATGATGAAAGTGGATGTTTGATTCTTCCAAACATTTCTCTTATGCACTTCTCTGTTACATACTTTTTCAAAAACAAAGGAAATTGTATTCTTTCATATGTTGGATTTAATTTCTTGTCAAGATTTGAATAATGATTCAGGATTTCTAATACATCAAAACGCTGAAGAACGCCCTTGTTCACCAAAACGTTCTTTGTCATGATGGAAAGCGAGTTTTTCAATGACATCAATTCATTTCTCAACCTTACTTCGTGAAGTTCCTCCATTTGCAGCAGTTCTCTTTTGATATTTTCCATCATTTCATCTACAGCTTGGTGAAGACATCTTGCCTGGTTTTGAACGGCATCGTGGATTTTCTTGTACTTCTTGCTAAAATTTGAAAGTTCGGTTTCCAGTTGCGATATTGATTGTAAGAAGTTTGGTATTGTCTTATTTTCGATTAAAGATGTGTCCTCCTGTAATTCCTTCTTTTTGTTCTTGATTATTTCCTCTATTTCACGTAATGAATGCGACTGATGTTCTCGTGTTATACATTTGCTACATACTGGTTTCCAGCACGGTTCACACAATAATTCGCAGACTTGTTTATGAATATCACATAATGAAAATCTTATTTTACCTGCATGTCTTTGTTTGTAGCTAACAATGTTGTGTGTTTTTGATAAATCGGAATCAAAATGCTTGTTAACACAACTCCGACAAAGATCTTCTCGACAAGAGACACAGCGTACATGAATTTCCAAATTTTCGCAAACATGACACCGTGCAGCATCTTGCGCTCTGCTTGTCGGGTACATACTTTGACATGGGTATCTCAAGTTTTTTTGTTCCAAGTCCTGACACAATTTGTACTGAAATGTTTGAAATTTATTAGAATTCAGTCGACGAGTGGCACATTCTTTAAATCTAGAAGAAGAGAAGATAAATCAGTTTCTTGTACAGTGTATGTAATTCTTTCAATACACTCTTTTATTTAAAATTTATCCCAAATAAAAAAAAATATGGCGATACACAGTGTTGCAATGTAAATCATGTCTTATTTTTATTTCTTTGAGTTAATGTTAATTTGTTGTTTTACATCCCATTTGAGCATTTTTTTCACTGCAAATAAAGCAAAACTTTATCTTTACCAAAGAGATCTTTGAATATGAATTAGTAGTATTCTACTGGCTCCAATTTTTGTTACCAATGAAACAGTTTGTAAAGAATTAATGTATTCAAATATGTAGTCCGATCTGTATTGTCAACAAACTAAACACTGTAGGAATAGTGATATGAAAGAATTTCATTAAAATTATGTTTAGGAACCATAACAAGTCTATTTGTCTCAAAATTAGATAGCGAAGTGCGGTTTTGTTTGATTGTTGTTTAACGTCCCTTTCGAGAATTTTTCACACATATGGAAAAGCCACTACATGCCGATGGACAGCTGCAAATCTTATCTTATACGCAGCACTTTTGACCATTTGTCGTGAGGGATCATTTTCGTGTCAGCACTAACTGCACTTGGTCTCATCCGAAGGAGCGGTCTCCACGTCCCACGGTAAACCGCTCCACGTCCCACGGTAAAGATTAACTCCTTACTTCGCTTCTCCAGAGCGGATGTCAACCACCGCGCCACCCGGGCGACAAGTGCCGTTTTGTATACGATTTCAATGATAATTGGTGCACGACGACACTAGGATATCTAAATGCTTTTAATCTAAAACAATGAACATATTTACTTACCTTTCACATCAACAACGTACTTATGTATATAGTATAAGAATTCTTTCAACACACAAGTCTGCAGTGCAGACGTGTTTGTTATCATCGCTGCATTTTGTTTGTTAAAAATCGATTTTTTTTCAATCCAGGGCGACGTCATACATAAGTAGGAGACCGTGTATTTAACAACCTTTTTCGATTCAATACATTGTATTTAAGGTGTTTCCACCCTCACAATTTTAATGGTTCAAAGTACAAAAACTGCAGTTATTTTCATTAAATATACTTTAAATTTTCCAGTTATTGCAAAAAATGTATAGGTCACCATATTATTTAAGATGCGAAACATAAATAAACAGAAGTGTATGTCACCATAAAAAATCGCACATTTTTTGTAAACAGTATAATTATGAAAAACTGGTTAAAATGCATAATTCTGATGCTGAATTTTCCTAAATACTTCCTACTTATAAGATACTTTTGTATTGTGAATTTCAGGGAAACTATTTTACATCAGAAGTACAATAAAGCAAATGCCTGAATGAAGAGTTATAATTGCCTTTGTCAACATTTTTTAAAGATTGAATAATTGATTAAATAAAGAAAATATGCATTTTAAAAATTCTTTTACTTAACAATATTTATCATTACACCTATTGTAAAGCATTCTTCCAAAAGATATTGTTCTATTAGATATAAATTTAAACTAATTACAGTTTTTGCAAAAACCTATGACATCATAGGAGAGTGGAATTACCTTAAATTCATTGTAATGTTCCTTATTATCCATTTAAAATTCACAGCGTTTAAATGTCTGTAACACACGCGAAACCTTGTCACCGGACGTTAGAATGCACAGTAGGAAGTACATAATATGCATTTTCAATATCATACTCTAGGAACACCAAAATGCACATTGTTTAGACAAAGTTCAATAAAACAAAATAACCCTGTTAAATTAATGTAAAAATACAACAATTTGCATTTTGGTGTTTCTAAATTTGTTACCTTAGGCTTTTTCCTCGCAATGTTTGTTTGCGTTATTTGAATAAGAATTAGAGAATATAAATATAAGCATTGAATTCATATTTTGGAATGTCTTCGGTCCTGTAACATACTTATAACACACCTAGCGCTTCATGAAAAATATACCTACGTGCAAGTCTGTGTGATTCTCACACCAATAATTCACACTAAACTTAAAAGCATTCCTTATATTTACATTTTACGTGTTTGGAAGCAACTAAAATATACTTATTATTTAAATATCTCGCTGCCCTATATCGTTGCATTTTTACTAATGTCGCAGCAGTCTCATTGTGACGTCACGTTAACGCACGTTTCTCCGTGTATATTTCTACGCGTGAGGATACACGAAAATGGTATTCAAATCAATTTCATTGTTTGCTTAGTAGAAAAACATAGCTAATGTAAATATATCCTAATAGATTCATATAACAGTAATATACAAATGTATAACTTCTCATAAAGTCAGATACTAGTATATGTATATACATGTACAATACCACTTTCTGCAAATTTCTAGGTCTTCATGTAAGCTTTTAAAAGAAAAATGTTAAATGTAAAACTAATCAACTTGCCAATAATATGATTACAGATTATAAAATATGTAGGTGATGCAAATGACTATCAACAGCAACATTTTGTTTTAATCAGCATAACTATATATATATACCTATATATATTGTATGTTTGATGACAGGTGATGTCCATAACAAAGAGAATATTAATATAGAAGGAGGGGGATCTGGCAAGGACAGCATAAAGGGGAAAATGACAGAGGAACAGGATCTCTTGAGGGTGAGTCATTAAAGTAAATCAGCAAAATTCAAAGCTCTGAGACAAAGCGAAGAAATGTTTGATCTTCATCATCTGTTGATTAAGTCTTTAACATTAAGGCTTTGTGGCAACGCACTTTGAAAAAATTACGCACTTTGAAAAAAATTTTCAAAGTGCGTTAAAATTGGGACAAAAATCAACGCACTTTGAAAAAAAATTTCAAAGTGCGTTAAATTTGGGACCAACTCGACGCACTTTGAAAAATTTTTTCAAAGTGCGTTAAGAGTCTACATCAATATATTTTATCATGGAGACACTTAACGCACTTTGAAGAAAAAATTAAATCCTATTTTAGTAATGGAAAGATTTTATTTGTTATTCATCTTTCAAAAAACTTGTGAATTGATTTAATCCCGCCGATAAGAGGAGAAGACGGGAATAAGATCCCTCAGTCCAAATCTTTATCTTTCCAATACATAGGTGTCGGTAACAAACGGGAGAGCAATATACCCAAAAATGGTAAGCTGCATTTTCAATGCTTATAATATATATATATATATATATATATATATATATATATATATATATATATATATATATATATATATATATATATATATATATATATATATATATATATAAAGCACTAAAAAACCAACAACACTGTATATCCTAAATGTCGGATTTACCAAGTAGATACAAGGTCACGGATGGAAATTTATATAAAGCACTAAAAATGACCAACGACACGAACAATAAAAAATTGTCAAATTTTCGGGACGCCCTGTCCCTTCCTCAGGACAAAGAAAAAAGTTAAAAAGTCATAAGAACAAAGGAAAAAGAGAAACAAAAACAACTAGCACTACTACTAAACTACTAAACACTAGATATTTACATGCTTACTTACATGCTGAATTGGAAATTTTTAAGAACACTAATAAAGAAAGAAATCCGGACCGCTATGAAATGCGTCCGGTCTATCGGGTATACTCGGGTGAAGTGCGATTTACATAATTGAACGAATTAATTATGCTAATTAATTACGACAATCAGTAAATCGTACATTGTTTCATTCTCTCAAAATGGCGTAACTTTACTTAATAAAGAATAATCGAAGAAAAATAATATAGCAGGGATATTTAAACATATGAATTATGATCAATTATAAATTTTGAAATATTTAAAGACTTATTACCGGGAAAAAATAATTAACAAAGGTGTAAGCAATACATAGTTATGAGAGTTGTTCGAGAGTTGGTGACGCAAATTAACTGTAGAGTTTACACTAAATTGAGAGAATAATCTTGTTTAGTATCATCAGGAATTGGGTCTAGTTTACGTTCATTCTGGTGAAGTCATTCAGTTTGTTAATACCATTAGGGCGGAATGACTTCAATCTGTGCATCCAGAACTTTTCTTTGCTTTTTCTCTGAGCATATGTCCATCTTGGGTTATGGTCAATCACCACTACTGTCATGTCCTCCCATTTGTGACCCTCAAGGTTGAAATGTTCCCCAACGGGTTCATTGAGTTTTTGGTCCTAATGGTCGAACGGTGGTTATTGACTCTCCTGTGGAGATCTCCTGTTTCACCAATATACTGTTTGGAGCAAACTTTGCAACTGATAAGATAAATGCAGTTGTCAGTATGACAGGACAAATTCCCTAGTATTTTGTAGCTGCGGCCTGTAACAGGGCTGTTAAAACTGTCTGTGTCAGTGCTGTGCTTACAAAGAAGACATCTTCTGTCAGAGCAAGTTTTAAAGCCCCCGTTAGGTAATGGGTTGTCCAGTCTGGTTCTTACTACCATGTCCTTTAGGTTCCTTGGGCGTCTGTATGCAGCCAATGGGGGTTCCTTAAAGACCTCTGCCATTCGTTTGTTTGAATGGAGAATTGGAAGGTTCTTTTGAAGGATACCGCTAAGGTTCTTAAGGACGGGATGGTATGTGGTTACCAGAGGGACCCTGTCGTTATTGTCTTTTTCCTTGTAGCGTAATAGGTTTTTCCTGTCATGTTCCGCCATCTCATCAATAGCTGTTTGTACATTGGCTGCATACAGACGCCCAAGGAACCTAAAGGACATGGTAGTAAGAACCAGACTGGACAACCCATTACCTAACGGGGGCTTTAAAACTTGCTCTGACAGAAGATGTCTTCTTTGTAAGCACAGCACTGACACAGACAGTTTTAACAGCCCTGTTACAGGCCGCAGCTACAAAATACTAGGGAATTTGTCCTGTCATACTGACAACTGCATTTATCTCATCAGTTGCAAAGTTTGCTCCAAACAG